AAAGAAGTACGTTAATTAGTACGTTAATAAAATCTTATATTAAACACGAAATTCAGAATATTAATTTGAAACAAGAATGAAACGCTGCGTGGGACAATTAATACCACAGTTATTATTTCAAAAAAATTTATTTGTAATATACTACATCCCTGGTGATTAAATTACGTTTATCATATAAGTATACTTTGAAGATTAAAAAAATAGAAACAAATTAGTGTTTAAATATTCGTAATTACAAATTAAATTTCTGTCAGCAATCTAAACATAATTGCAATATGACAAAATCCGCCACATTTACTACTCTCTGTCATTTTAATGCTTAATAATTACGAATGTGGTGCAAAAAAAGAAAACTATTTTTGATCGAAAAGAAATGAAATTTTCATTCCTCACTTAAAATGCAATGGACATGATAAGCTTAGTGTATCTGAGTGACAATTCTTATCAAATATCATCGGCATGTTACACAGCAATCCTTTTCATCATCAAAATCTTATTTGTTAAATTGAATAATAAATTTATGCTTGATAATAAATTTTATAAGCATATAAAAGTGAAAATGGAAATATATGAATTTCAAATGTGATGATATTTGGAATGAAAGCATTAATTGAAAATGTAGAACATTTGGATGTTTGTTTGCTTTTACAAAGTACACCCATACATCATTTTTCGTGGTGGCACAAAAAATTGGGAAGAGTGCGGCAGTATGCCATTTCAAGTATTGAGGCTTACTAATCTAAATTAGTATCACTTCTCAGTTCTGAAGCTTTTCAGCAAACTTTCCAATAAAATTTAAAAATTGGGAAAAAAAAATGCCAAAGATTGAAATTTCTGGGACAGTTTGAGCTAAGTGTGATCACCGGGAATGACTTAATTTCTTTCTTTCTTGTTTAATTTTTGGCATACTTCAGTGAATTCAAATGATTGAAATGAGTCAATTTATTTGTCCCAGAAAGCTCTGCTCTAGTTCCTTCGAAGATCTAATAAAAAGGAATATCCAGTGTGCTTCATAATGTACGAAACTGCCTAACAATATTGAAATGAATCATTTTGAGGAACGTAAAAATTTGATTTCACTCTTAATATTTTTTTGGTTAAGGCACACTTTACTCTCTCTCTCTCCCTCCCGCTCTCTCTGTTCTTGCCCATTTCATTTAGAAAGAAAGGGAGAGGAAAAGAATTTTATGATTGGGAAAAAGGGAAAAGGGTGATCAGTGGAAAGTATATCTAACAGATAATCATTTATCATGATAACGTTAAACATTATGAATGAAAGGATCAAAAAGAGAAAAAGAAAGGGAAAAGAAAGAAAAAGAAAAGGAAAAGAAAGAAAGAAAGAGGGAAATATGAAAATGATGATAACTGATAATGAAATTCTGAAATATGAAAAAATGATTGGTAGAGGGAGCGGTGAAACGAAGGAATAGCAAATTTAAAAATAAAGAAAAAACTGATTGCATGAAATCCTATAAACTTTGAGAGTATTTCCCATTTTCCCCCTTTCCTTTTCTTTTCAATCATTTCTTATCAAAATAATTATAATAAAAGGAGTGAAATCCAAATTTCCTTGTTATTAAATGAAAAAAAAAAAAAATTGTCTCCATATCACTTCCAAACAAATTTATTATTATCAATTATTATTATTATTATTATTGTTATTATTATTACTGTTATTATTATTATTGTTATTATTATTATTATGGTTACTATTATCATTATTTATTTAGTTATTTATTATTATTAATTACTACAAACGTAATATGATAGTAATAAGTAATATCATGGGTATCAAGTTTGGACAACATATTTGGATGAAAGGAAGCTGAAGAAGTTAATAATAGCATAAAGCCATGAAGTTATGGAATGATTTTAAATCATCAATTATTTAATAACCGTAGCAGAGAAGGAAGAATGCACGCATGCATTAGTATTTAGAATGAATGCATACATATAAAATATGTATGCATTCATTCATACATATTTTCATTCACAGAAGAGCATTGTTAATGCAAAAGTAAGCATTTAACATTCATTTTATCAAATGAACAGCCTAATTTTGCAGGCAATAAGATTTGTTCGTAATGTGAAATGAAACTGAGGAGTTAAAGGATGCTGCTTACAGCAATATTGTAGATGCAGTTGTAAACAGATACAACTCTAAACTTATTATTTACATCTTGTCAAAGACGATAAATTGCAAAAAAAAAAGATGGATGAAGGAAAGGGATGGGAAGAGAGAGACAGAGACAGAGAGAGCAATAAGTTTTTCACTTGAAATCCTTAGAAACTAAGTACTTTTGCTTTTATATCTTTATAATAGTATTTAGTCGTCGTCTGCTTTTAAAACTATACGACAATTCTTCACCAGAAATAGTTGACAAAATTAACAGCACACATAGACATATACACAAGAACCAAAGATACACAGACATAGACAGACATATATATATTAACACAACTGGTTGTGTTTCGAATTCTATGAAGCAGCATTTCATTCGCATTTCAAATGATGACGTAACTAAGCTAGCAGAGAACCTATTACTACTAAAAATAAAGCAAAGTTCGAGTTTCATGTCACAATTTAATCGATGTCATCTGCCATCTTTATTGTCATCTTGACCTCCAATCCGCTTTTATCCATCTTTATAATTGTCATAAATCTTTCTTTCTCTTTCTCCCTCCCCCTCTCTCTCTCTCTGTCCTATCCACGCCTCGGTATTTTTAATTCTTCGTTCTGTTCAAGCTATTATAATAAATGAGCGCAACTGTTTGCATAGGAAGATAATAAAGGGTATAGTGAAAGGGAAGATTAATGAGCAGACAAACACACGGACATACACTATTACATTGTAGGAGAGTAATATTGAAAATGGTAAGGGATTTGAAGTTGAAACTTTCAGTAACTACCATAAAATTCAATCGCTGTATCATTTTCACCTTCCTTCATCCTTCTCCTTCTTTTTCTCTCCCCCCTCCCTTTCTCTTCAACATGTATTTTTATTCGCTTCTCTGAATTTTTCAATCTATATATAAAAAAAGGGGGTTAATGTCAAATATTTCTAATATTTTTATATAAAAAAAAACGAAAAAAAAAAATAAGAATTACTAAATTGTATCAAAATTAATGAAACGTATGAATAGGAAAAGAAAATAAAAGAAAAAGAAGTTAAAAATAGCTTCTTTTTCTATCAAAGAAAAAAAGAAAATTACTATATATAAGCAAAAATTATTTTTATTTCATTCGTTTATATATCATATAAGAAAAGTCATGAAAACAATAGACAAAATAAAAAGAAAAAAGAAAAACGAAATCTATCTTTTTTTTCTTTTTATTACTTTGAATAATAGTTTTTTTTTCTTTTTTTTTTTCATACATTTTAATATTCTCATTCTTCCTGAATGAATGGATGATTGAAATGAATGAATGAATGAATAGCTAATACCGTGATAAATTCATTAACTCATTCATATATATTGGTGACTAATTTTCAACGATCAAAAAACTGTTCAAGAATATGAAGTGCGGTTTTCTAACAGATATTAAAAGATATTCAAATTAATCCCATGTTTTTTTTTTTTTTTTTTTTGAGATTTTTATGAGATTTTAAAGTCAGTTTAGCTAATTTTTTTTTGAAGAAGAAATATGAAAGGTATCGAGTTCTTTCCTTATCTGTTTTTTCCACTCTTTCCTTCTCCATTCATCTAACTTTTATCAATGACGAGAATGACAAATATTTCAATGAATATTTCGTACAGGAAAGAAAAAAAAGAAAGATTTCGTTTTTCTTTTTATTTTGTCTATTGTTTCCATGACTTTTTTTATATGATATATAAACGAATGAAATAAAAAGAAAAGGAGGAAAACACGTTGGCTACAAATGATAATCTTGAATTATTGAAATTCCGCAGGTAATTAGGTATAAAATTTCATTACATGAAAAATCTGTTTTGCATGACAAAAATCAAATGTGATTATAAATGTGATTACAGGATAGAATTGAGCAATAATATTGTTGCTTATATGATCAGCAGAAAGTATTTAAAAAAACATAAATACAAATAAAAGAAAAAAGACAAAAAAAAAACTAATGGGTATGAATTTTCCACTTACAGCAATATTATTAACTGAACATTGTGAGAAAATTATCATGAGCGCATTTTTTAGAAGTTATAATTCTCCTCAATTTAAAAGTAAGAAAGCATGAATTTGTCAAACATATTTATCAATAAACGAAAAAAAGCATTTCAAATAAGAAAGATTAATTTACAAATGTTTAAAATTTAATAACTCACATTGCAGTGTTTCTTTCAATCCCAGCGAAGCAGAAATAAATGAAAAATGATTAATGTTGTTTGGAATAATATTATTTCAATTCGTATTCACACAGATATTGCTCTTGAAAATTAAAACTTTGAAATTCTTTTTAAATTTATGCATTAGTTTTATCATTTTTTACTACTTATAGAAATATTTTAAAGTTTTTATAATTTCAAATTATCAAAACTGATGGTGTGCAGAAAAATGAAACAAATTTTTTCAACAGTAAAATTTATTTGATTTAACATTAAATAACCTCACTGACGAACAAATCATGATAAGTAGGTAAACAGGATGACTTTGAAAAGGTGTAATTTAAGGATAAGTTTAGTTTTCTTTTTCCTAATTCACATTTTTTCGAATATTATTTCAAAAAGTGCAGTGTAGCATGTGTAATCAAATATAAGTTCAAGTCTACAATAAGCTTGATGGCTAATTTGATGCTTTTCACACCTCTAGTGTCCAATCGTTTTCTTTCTTTTTTTTCTCTAAAAAATCTCTATTTATTTCATTGTAATGATATAAAAAAGATAGAAAAAACGCATGGTTACTAAACCATATGTATGTACCATTGATTGCACAGCTATATGCTCAAACTAATCCTATCAAGGTCAAAAGTCATTCGCTTAAGAATATCGGAAAATTGTTGATGGGAGAGATGCATTAATGTAGCGTCGTAATGTTAGATGGAATTATGTCAGGGATATTAAGTACAGAAGCAGTGGTAATTATGAAAACCATAACTCTTCAAAAGAAAACTTCATATTGGGAAACAAAAAAAAAACCTACCAAACAAAAAAAAAGATCCCGAAAAAATCGATTAGCAGAAAGAAAGAGGGTCACCGTGACCTCGACCACTCGATCGACCACTACTAACAACTCCCAACTATTGTGTAATTATAGCATGTTGTGTCATCAAAACATGAATAGAATTGATATCGGGAATAGAACATTACCATCAACCATAAATGTTCGAATGGTAAGTATCAATTCTTAAAAATTATGTAATTTCATGTATTTATTTTTTTATTTTTTTTTCAAAAACTTGGGACAAGCAAATTTTATGCAAAATTCATTTTTTTTTCTTTAAATTTTTTGAAAAATCTTAACAATGAAGGATTTATTGTTAGTAAATATTATCATATTAATTTAACTTGCACGATTTCTAGTCAAGGAATTAATTGGTAAATGAATTACTCCGGTCAGGAATAACTATTAATGATTTATATCAGTTGGGTAAGTTAAATTAAAATGATGGATTGATGTATTCATTTCCAGAGTAATTCATATTAATTTGCATAATTATCACGAATAATTTGAGTCAATCAGAATAATTTCTAAAAATAATTTGACTCGATTGGAATAAATTGCCTATTAACGTTTTTCTTACTTTTTTTGTCAGGGCAATAATTCACCATTAACGTTTTTCTTACTCTTTTTTTTCTCTCTTATTTTTTAGTTTTTTCTTTCTTATGATATTAGTGATAATGATAACTGGATGATTAATTTCTTAAGATGCTATAACTCATTCAAGTAATATTTGTGGGTAGAAAGTGAAAGATTAAAAAAGAAAAAAATTGATGACGTTCATGATTGATTTTTGGGATGATAATAATTTAATCTATCTTCATCATAATATCTATCAAAATTGGACTAATTTTTATCATCATATATTCTTCACTTAATTTTTCAAAATATTAGTATTAATATATACTTATTTTATATTGATATTTTATTAAATTAATAAAAAAATCCCATTTTGAATAATATGATCAATTGTTTGCTGATTTGATCCAATTCAGTAAATTTTCATAATTGACAAGCTTAAAAAAGATTTGAGAAAAGGAATTTTATCTTAATTAAATCACACTATTCCAAAAATATCTCTGATATTTTCGAACAATTCCGAACAAAGATTTGAAAAGGATTGAATATTAATAAAAATTGAAATTTTAGCTAAAAATTGAACTTATAGAGAAAAGAAGAGATCAACAAAGAGGAAGAGAAAAAAACAGGAAAAAGGTCGTAGAGCCGTAGAAAATATATGAGAGAATTAGTCGAGATTGCTGATATCAACTTTTTGTTAACTATTCCATAAAAGAGAACTGATATCGTTTTATCAATTTAGATGATGTGAAAGCACCAATATTTGATGTTTTAACAAGTTTTAACTGTAAATTTTAATTTAAGTCGTTAATTTAAGTTTTATATTTTATACATTTTAAAGCACTCTGTCCATTCATTACCCATCATTCCCAAAACTCTTACATTTCCAAAAAAAAACTCGTAGTACTCGAAAACAAGTTAATAATCTGTCTTCTCATACTCCCTAACAATTTCTTCCCAATGCGATGAAAAATTTTCAAAGCAAACATTTCAAGGGCCGCGCTTTACCTAATCACTGTTGTGTATCTTTTCTCGCAGACGTATTTGAATTTGAAGTTTAAATTTGGTAAGTTTTAGGAGGAGTGGCTTTCAGGATTGTCTGGTATCGTTTGGAGATACGGAAATTGGTGTTATCCAGAAACTGGAATCATAAATGCCTTCTATATTTACATTATATGAAAGATTTGACCTATGTTAAGTTGACTATCGATCTTTTCTTATGAAAACACTTTAAAACATACACTTTAGTATCGTTTTTCGTTACTTCTAATTAGTTCGACATAAAATTTATTTGAGAATTTCCATTACGCATATGTCTGTTGTTAAGACGAAAAGTCATATTTTTCTTTAACGGGAGCAAATATATATGCAAATTTCATTAGCATCTTTATTTTATTATTGTAACTCAGAGTGTGACAACATAACATTATCAAAAACGCATCTGTGCTTGATTGAAAATTTTCAATACATAAACCACTTAAATGAAATCATATGATTTCATAAGATGCATTTCTGTCTGTTAATATATTATGCAAGGACGTTTTTGAAATTGAAGAGCTTTCTCGTATGCATTCGAGATTTTTCGGATAAACCTTGATCATTTTCAGGTTGATGATCAAACAATGAAAGCAATGGAAAGGGAGGGCGCTGGCCGGAGAAGTGTAACATATAAGGGTCATTTTCAATGGCCATCTAAAAATAGCATATTAACAACACCGGAACGGAAACGTTCAAGACGTTCTATGAGCTTCGCTGATTCCGGTTTAGGTTCATCCATATTTGGTTCACCTCCCTCGAAATCAGTAAGCTCTGAAAAAATTTTTTCATTTTCAAGCGAGTTTTGGGTTCCACGTTTTACTCAGGATTTAAAAACAAGTGTGGAATTCTTGTTTTCATACCAGTGTTGCGAAAAAATATATGTGAGTATGGTTGTAATACGATGCAATAAATATAAGGAGAACTAATATTGTGAACTGTTCAATTACGGAAACCTTACCTAGATTGGTTCATCATTTCAGGTTACTATATCAGACACCGCTCCTATGTTAAAGACACCAACAAGGAAGAGGTCACCGAATACGAACTCACCCTCCTTACAGTCACCACTAAAGCAAGTTTTAGTATTTTAGTACTTACTTACTGATCATTATATTGATGAAGTATTAGCTAAGAAGTGGTGCTGAATAAATTAGTATTTGAAAAGGCAATATGCAGATGACGAACTCTAGCTGCTTCAAAATGCTGAAAATATACGTTAATATCACATTTTTTAAACTTAGCTTGTGAAGTGTCCTTCGTGTCGTAATAGTACTATACTTCCACTTACTGTCTCGCTTACCTGGAAATACCTATATTATGTGTGGGTACCTTTTGACAATGCTGTATTAGATATTGTATGGTTTTTTACAGTTGGCTTTATATGTAAAATTTTAGATCTTTTCTTCATGTGTCTGCGTTTAGTGATGCCTTCTGTCCACCAGAGAACTGTTCGCCTCCATCGAAGTTCCGTTTGTCGGATCCAGATAGTGCTGTTGGTAAAAATTTTGAATTTTAATAAAGAGATTAATAAAAGCTAAGGTCTATTGACAAACTGATGTGAGTGGAATGAGCCGATTGAAAAAAGTGAGTTATAAGACGGATTCCTGAGATTTTCTTCGATGTGCTGATGTTCAGCCATCTAACAGATTGCGTGAAACTTTAAAATGTTCTGTTCATTGGGTAAACTTAAATGATATTAGCGAGAAAACACAGAACACGAATTCAAAAGGGTATGGCATAAATATATTTTTTTGAAAAGCAGCAGATGGGAACAAGTAATCATGAGAATATGTAGTGCATGGATAAGTTCTTCATTGTGTCATGCTGAAAAGAACATCATATGTTGCATCAAGAACTGTGATCCAGCCATATTGTGCATATAACTAATATTAAATCAGATAGTTCTTTTGATATATCATCATTTGTAATGTTTATTCGATTAAGCAAATTTAATGCAAACAAGTATATCTGGACAAGGAATCTTGTTCGTTGTTCACATTTAGCAATTTTTTATCAGTGATTGGCTATCTAATTTCTTATTTCCTAATTCGTTAAGTCAGATTTGAGAGTGATTCTTTTTTTACAGAATACAGATTTAGTGGGATAAGTGTGCCAGAAAATGAAACACCTATCAATATGGCAGACGATGCATTGAATGGAGCGATACCATCTACTTCTTTCAAAGACTCCTCTTTCCGGTCAGCTGTAATTCTCTTGAAACTCATTTAGCATGTTCCTTAACAAGACATGAAGTTGTATGTTTCATGTTTTTTTTAGTAATAGTTTGATGACAGGAGGTTGCTATCAGTTCCAAACGGTTAATTTCCGAAAATTATTCTGGAATATGTGTCGCATTATTTCCTTATAAATTGAATAAACTCTGTTTTCTTATATCTTAATTTTTTTCAAATTTTTGTTTAAAGGAACTCTAAAAGAGGAAAAAAATGGTACTGTTTTTTCTAAATTCAAGGTTTAATGTTTGTTTCAGGTCGTCACTTGATGATGAGAATGATGATAGCATAACGGACTCTGCTATTTCATATGGGATGGTGGAAACACCAAGTAAAGGATTTAAAAACGAAATGGTTTGTAGCATGTTTTTGTGATATTATGAGAAAAAAATATGGCTTGTCATCTTCTGAGTGGCATTCCTGTTCGAGTCCGAAACATATTAAGTCATAAGATGGAACTTGAATTTTTTCCATTTTAATGACATCTTTTTTTACTTTCAGAATATGGTCACGGGTTTCATTGATGATAACTTTTCATTGCTTACATCAACCCCATTGAATATCAGTCCAAATGATGACATTTCAAGGAGCCATGGTTTCATACCCTCACATTATACAATTCCTGAACAAGCTAATGGTCCGCTGGAAAGCAGGTACATTGACTTTCAATTCAGACAGTTTTCTGATTTACAAATAGTTCAAAATCATGATCTGCGACATTAGAACACATGCTGATACTTCTGAACCATTCTGCAGTGGTACTCAAGTGATATTATTCGCTGAACGTTTCGTTTCCATTTTGGTGACGTGTAAAAAACTTTTCATAAAAAAAATTGGGTTGTACCTTTCGAAAGGAGAGTTTCACTTTAATTCTGAAACAAAAAAATTGTTTTGTATTTACCTTCTACCTTAATGGATTACCTTAATTGCAGTTTGTGTGAACCGGTCGATCAGTTTAGATTACACACTGCTGGTTTTTTATCTCCTGTGAAAAGCACTGATACGGAAGCTATAGTTTTACCAGTAACGAGGATAAATCAGCTAGAGAAGATAAATCTTTCGCAACAAAGGGTTTGCATTTTTTATATATAATTTATACATGAAACATAAAAAAATGGGAAGATTACCCTCTAGAAACTTCGTTTTTCAGATTGAACACTTCTATCCAAAGTTTCCAAGTAATTCAGCAGCTGCAAATTTAAATCGGGTTTATCTTCGTGAAACGAACTACAATAATAGGCCATTCAGGCCACCAGCAAAAGCGCTTAAAGTGGTAAAACTTTAGTTTTTGTTTACTTCTCACCTCTGTTAAGCAAGAAAAGAATTACTTTAGATATCATATTTTAAACTCAATTTAGGATCTTAGATATAATTATAGTTATGCAAAAGCATGAAGTTATCACAAATATTTTATTTCGAAATTATCAGTTGCCTTTCTTGTATTGTGCACTGAAATCCAATTACTTCCAGAACTCAAAAAAATGGTTTCAAATAACTTGCGGGGAAACACCTCATCAGGTAAATTTGAATATGTTGTTAAATGTGTAGGTCTTGCTTGTAGTTTTATTGAAACTTTGCCACTGCATGCGCGATAATTTTCAAGTGTTCATTTTTGACAACTCGCCGAATATTTAGTTCACCGAAATTCTATTTTCAGATAGAAATGACTCGAATGGCTAGAATTTTCCTAGAAGGTAGTCAGCCAATTTTTCCACAGTGATTGATACAACATGACTGCCAACGTACTAGTCATCCATGTGATATCAGTAAGCAGTCTTTATACCAGCTCACTAAGTTTTTGTGAAATCTGTTCATTTAAATATCTGACATGTATAAAATAAGAGTCATGTGATTATTGCTTCTATAACCTAGTTATACATTCTGTTTTATAGTGGAAAAAGGATCTCAGCTTTTATCAGTACCTCAAACTTAAGCACCTGCCATTTTATGAATTGATTTAGGTTTTGTTTGTACCGCGGTATTGAGATTAATTTACGGTGCCTTGGAAATGCTTTGGATCTAGTTTGATTGATTTTAATAATATAAGCGCGTGAATACTTTAGAACAAACTTTTATCCTTGCTGTTGTCTTTAATTTTAATGATCAATAAGTCTTTTTTACTTAACTTTCAACTTTTCTCATGCGGCATTAGCAGCTTAACATTCATTCGCGACTTTCTGATTCCTTGACTAGTTCTTGTGTTAGAAGAATCGAAATTTTACGAGAATCCGTAATGTTTCTAGAAAAATTCGATCTTTTTGACACTAAATTGAATATTGTTTTTTTGTGAGTTTATATTGTTTTTGTGTATATTTGTTGAATTCAGAAAATCGTATGTAAACTTACTATGCTGCATTGGGCATAGTAGACCATGATTCAGTAACTCTCTAAGAAATAAATTTGTCGGACAGAAAACCCTTCAAATTGAATGATCACCTAGATATGAAAATGGGAAGTAAATAAAATTTGGCATCCCACCACCTAATTTTCTGTGAAATATGCAGAAACTGTTGTATTTTAGCCAAAACTCTTTCTCTTAGCTTTGAATTGTTAGGTATCTAAGGTAACTATTCTTTTCATCAATCTTCATCCTTTTTTTTTCCAGAAGTTTTAGATTGCATAGTCTGTGTCTCAATTTTTTCCTGTTTCCTAATTTCCACTTTTCTGCTATCCTCACTGGACTATTTCCAGTAACATGCATTTTTCCGTTTTAAATCTGCATAATGCATTTGTATGGACTGCAGGAACATGCACATTTTAAAGTTTTTTGAAAGTTTTCAATTTGTTGAAATGTCTTGTACCATAAGTCGCTGTATTACTCCAGTTTTCTTTTTTGATTTTATGAGCATTCATTCCTCATATAATTTTAATCGTTTTATCCATGTATCGTATTCCGTTCTCTTCCAGTCTTGCAAAATTTATGTCCATTTTCTTCATTTCCTATTTTCTAACTTAATAGTGATATGGTCTAATCATAACTATCTCAAAGCATGCATTTTAACAGTTTTGTAATGTGTGATTCTTAAATATAATCAAAATGTTCATTATTTGTTTTCGCTACATAATAACGTAACATTCTGAAAGTGAAATAGTGCACAATGATTAGAATTTCTGAAAACCGTAAATGTTTTATATTGGTATTCTTTTTTTAGGTGAGATGTTTTGGGGCGTTTTCAGACTTGTATCCTACTTTTTAAATTGTCCATTCTTTATCTCCTTCCTTTCATATCATCATCCGTTATATGCAGATTTTTGAGTGGGAAATGTCATTGCTTTATACAGTTATCATCTATGTGTGCAACTGCGTTCCATCACTCCATTGTATATATAGTCTTCAAATCACCTCATAAAATGGTCATTCCATCAATTCATTTTCCTGCATTTTGAAAGTTTTAATTTACGATGTTTTCGTGTTTGGTAAGATTTACATGTTCTGTGAGTTACAGTGTTCATGAATGAAATTAAAATTTTGGAAAAAGTATCACATCACTGATAATGATCCATGACTTTGGTATCTTTTTTTCATTTTTTTGCTTGTAATCGAAAGCGATAGCGTAATACTTGATGGAGTTTAAAACTCAAATTTGGTTAAATAGGAGTTCTCTTAATGTGGAGAAAAGTTTAAGGTATCTCAGGAACGAAAAGATAAGGACTAATATATCAATATGTCTTATTTAATTCTGGTAAATTTGCCGCTTAATTTGTTTCCTCCATCCCAAATTTACTATTTGGTGTAAGTAACTAGCAGGGAAAAGAAAGAAAAGTTGGATTCATTATACCTTATGTAACATTGGATATCACACAAGTTGGAGAATTTTAATATAATGCCTAAAAAATTCTGTGCTTTATCTTTCTTAAAAAAAAAAAAAAAAAAAAAAAAAAACCTAATTTTTGCATAAATCCAATGGAGTTCTCATTTGTTTTTGAAATCATTAATAAATTTTGAAGCATAACAGGGGAAGAAAGTCTTCCGTCAATAATGTATAATAGTTTTCAGTTAATCAAGTATAAAATAGAAAGTATCAATTAACTTATTCATGCATTACATACACTTATAAACAATTTAAAAAATTTGGTTAATTGAATTCCTTCCGTAATTTCCTTACAATTTTTTTTTTTTTTTTTTTTTTTTTTTGAATGCTTAATTGATTTAAAACGATAACAACATACAGTATCACCTTTGGAGGGAATAACAAAAGGGATTTTTTTCCTTTCATTCATACTTCAAAATCTACCAATTTTTTTTTCTTCTTTTGTTTCTGTTTAAATGTGGAATTTCTATGCTACTCTTTCACCATTATGAAATGATTTATTCAAAAAAGTAAAAAAAAAAAGTACGGAAATACTTTCCTCCTGCACTTATTTTTCATTTTATTTATATAATTACGTAAATGCATTAATAAATGATATTACATAAATGGAATTATTTCTTAAATGAAATGAGCTAGTGATGGGAAATTTTGCTAAAATTTAGCAAATTTTACTTTTAATATAAAAAATCAATCTAAGTCCACAAGTCATAAATTTCAATAATTTTGCTGAAAATCTAATTTTTATACTAAAGTTTAAAATTTAATTCAGCTCAAAATAAGTTAATAGATCAAAAAAAAAGAAGTAGCACATAAATATTTAAAAAAATAATTTTATATAAATCATTGCAAAGAATCATTATAAAAACAATCCTACACTGAAAGAAAAAGCATTTTACAAGTGATATGAAAAAGTATAACTGCATTAAAGTTAATGAACACTTAACCGAATCCATCGTATTACTTTGGGAAATTAGTAGAAACAAATATTGTAATCTTTCAATAAAATCATTGATTATTTATCAACTTTTTATTTTGAATAGAAAGATTTCATATTAAAATTTCGTAACACCTTAAGATTACGATCTTAAGATCTGCAATACTTCTTCAGTTATGATCGTTTGAAGAAATCCAGATTTTGAAAGGAATATTAAGGCAATTCATCTATATCTCTATAAACATCTTTGTTAGTTAATCATCTGGGAGACTTTTATGCGCATTTATAATTTGTTATTGCATTGCGCACTCGCATCTTCCAAATATTCTGAAGTTTATTAATACTGATGAAGCATCGCGTATTCATATCCTCTAAAACCCTCCGAACTCATTAATAAGAAATTTCATTGAAAAGTCACAATATTCATTCCAGGACTTTTCACTATTATTCCAAAAGCATACAAATGTTGTCCATTGAGCACTCATAAATTTTTTAATTTCCTTGTAATTTATAATTAACAGAAATCCTTCATATTATTCAATACAAGATTTTATATTCTTAGCAGGTCCTTTTCTCCAACTACTCAGAGTTTCTTTTTAGTGTATAAATGTGAATACACTATTCCAGAAACTTTATTTAATATATTTGAACTGATTTATCAAGTAAAAGAATCAGTTTTATTCAAGAGAGATTCATATCAATTTGTATTTTGCTTTTTTAAATAATAACAGCGCCCAATGTAAGCATTTTCAGTAATCACTACTACCGCTGCATCATGTAAATTTCACAATTCTTGAAATAATGAACGGTGCAACACATTTCCACTTTGTCAAATTTAATCGTTTTCATGTTTGTATCAATGGTATACTGATCAAAAACATTTCATATGTGGAAGATGAAATAGTCTTGTTGACGTTTTTGATCATCAATTTCAAGTAATCGATCACTGTTCATCTACAAATTAATTGATATAGTAAATCATAAACGAGCAATATGAAATATAAACGTATCCAAATCAAGAAAAATACGCTTCAGAAAGATGAAAGGAACCGAAACTATTTTGGTTGGTGAATAATGACCAGAAAACTACAGGTACACCAATCAGTTTTACCATTTTCTTCCTGAATTAATCTAATGATCAACTGAAGCCTAAATCATCCATCTATTGCTAGTGATGGTTAACATTGTAAAATGACTGACGATAAATCAAATCTGTTATTCAATTGTAATATACCACAGTGAAAATTCTTAAACTAATGGTGATAATCATTATTAATATAATCAAAAAATACAAAGTAATAGTGATCGACAAAAATGTAATACTTCTGAAGAATTGAAATGATGAAAATGTATGCAAAATGAATTCACTCAACAAAGAAAAAAGAATAATGAAATAAAATTTGCCACTGCTACTATGACTAATGACAGTAAGATAAAAAAAAATGAACTTTACACTGTACCACAATTGAATCTTACTCCTGTTAGCAAATAAATCTTTCGACTAGTCAGATGAATGAAAATCATGAATTATTCCCATAATGTCACTAAGAAAAAGGTTCCAATAATTTCCAATAATGTTACAGCGATTTTCTTGCATAACGTACAGCTAGACGGTTTTGCATAAATAGCTAAACAGGCTAAATCTCATAAAAATTCGGATAGAAAAAAAGATAGAGTTACCTTATATAGGATTCACATCCAATTCATCACTATCAGAATTACATCGCTCTTGAGCATATATTTTTTTCATTTCACGTATAACTGCCCTCTTCCTTTTATTTTTTGCACCTCGTTCACGCTCCATTCGTTCCAATTGAGCATCATATGAATTTTCGCCGTTCAAATGTCGATCTACTGCATGTTTTAACCTGTAGCATTTTTAGTTCAAACTGAAAAATATGAAAATATGCAAAGACTTCATACTTTCACAGAATTGTAACATTCTGTCGAGATACTTGAAAAGAGATACAATATGATTAATCCTATGCATAATTTGACGTCCATCCCTAATCAAAATAAACACCCCCCCGGAATCTTCCGACAAAACTTATAAACCACATTAAAATTTCTTTCTTAAAAAAAAATCTAAAAACAACTTTGAACAGAAGGCAAACCATCTAAGCGCCTACTCTTCATGAAATCTGTGTTATCGTTGAACGGATATTTTCAATCCTTGAATTACATTCCGATCTTTACCTTTCCAGAGCAATCTCAATATTCTCTTGCAGAAGCCTTGACTGATGGACTCGAACAACGACACCAGTAGGTACATGCTTGATTGTTACTGCATTTTTTGTCATGTTTACCTTTTGCCCACCAGGACCCCATCCGGAAATAACTTTCTGGAAAATACTATCATATGAGTGTGTTCGCATCTAACTTTCCAAAGATGTGTCAACTTGCAGAATAATTATTTTATCTGCATCCTGAAAACTATGAGATACCATATCCTGCACTTATATAACTACACAAACATTATACGAATAACATTTATTATACGAACTAATAACGATAGAATATACTTGCCTGAACACAATCTTCACTTCGTATTACGGGAAAAATATAATTCTTTAATCTTTGTTTTGCAGAACTGAACTGCACTGAATTTGTGCGCAACCTAACCGAGCTTCGCACAAACATTGCCTGAATTGGAAAATTACCCTTTAAATATATTCTTAAAAACAAAGATCTCGAGTAACCGAAAAAAAAAAAAAAAAAAAAAAAAGAAAACTGAAACACCAAACGAAGATCTCAACATGTCACTTCATTATTTATACTACTTCAATACCCAAGTTCTTCCAAAGTTAATGACTGAATTCTTTTTTTTAACAAATCCCAGACAACAAACACTTCGTCTTTGACTTCAAAAAAAAAACGCAATCTCTCAATGTACTTTTTGGATAAATGGTAGTTTACCGTTACACACTACAGCAAACATTATAAATATTACTATGTTATAACAAATGCGTAATTGAAAGAGTTATTAGATGTCAAAATCTTACAATATATTGTTGTCAAAATTATATAATCACTTAACAACCTAATCCCACTGTGATAGTTTAATCATTGAGAATAGCATTTCGATGCTACAGTCAATTAGCATTGCCCAACCACTTAGCACATCATTACATTTCCAGAATCTAACAGGATTGTTAAATCATTCAGATCAACTAATTACATCTCTTGATGATGATAGCAAATTCCACAAGGAATAGCTATAAATCAGTTTTCTAGAAATCGTGATACTGTTAACAGTTAAACCACCCTGTTTAATAATTATAAGCAATACTAAAAAAAAAGCTGAAATATATGCATACTTGAAATGGATGGTAGTTTTTGATGAATAGGATGACATACTTACGACAGTACAATTGATAAATTACTTTCATAACGGAACCAAACTAAATGGCAAAAAAGAAAAATAAAATACCATCAGATTAAAAAAACATGTAAAAATTACGCTACGAAACTTTATGTATTTTCAAACAGCTTAAAACAACACTTCAGAACTTGAATTTTTTGCATGTACGAAAAATTGAAACAGAGAGTGAAGTTTTTTTTTTTGAAAAATGATATATTTTTAGTTTACTGCGAAGAAAAAAATAGTGACGACTTCGAAACAGATTGCTATCGCTATCTAGACGGCTTCATTACATTGTTATTTTTTGTTATCCAAAAATGATTCAGCAATTTTTTAAGTCCGTTAAAGGATCATTTCAAGTTAAATAATAATAATGGCCGAGGTAAACGAAACAGCAATAACAATATGAAAACAACGCACAACATCCGTCAATGTAGTGAACGAAGACACAGAGATCGTAAAATAATTAACATGCTAGAAAAATTCCAAAAAGTGGAGTGGAATAAGCAGCATTCCTAAATTTTCCAGACATAATCTACTTTTTGAGGATACATTTTTCATCATGTAATAGTTTTAGTTGCATCAAAAAAATTATTCACATCCACAAAGCAGACAGTTGTGTCCGGAAAGAACATCACTATTTTAGTTGGAAAAGCACCAGTTACTAAGAATATATTGGCTTTAGAAAACGATCTTCAAAATATTCTGGAAATAGATGTACTAACAAAATCTTAGAAAAAGATGCGAAAATGTTAATACAAAAAAAACTAACAGATTCTCATAAACAAGTTCCATGACCGTCTACAAAAATAATGACTCCGTTTATTTCGCAGGAAAATACGCTGATTTTAAAAGCATACTCATTCCGTAGACTTCACTGAACATATCTGAACACTACAACTGTCGTCAGGAACCGAAGTTATCATTGGCAGATACCCATGACCCACCATTAATTGTTCTCACTGTTGCTTCTGTATTAACGACTTTTCGTTTATGTTCTTTGACAATATCAAGTTCAGCTCTATCCCTGATCTCTTCTAAGCTATAATCAACAAGAAGCCTTCCGTTTTCGAACACTGTTACCAATACGTCCTGTAAAATTATGAAAATGAACAAAATAACCAGCTAAATTTACCAATCAGCTGAAAGTATAGGAAGAAATTCGAAAACATGAATGGAAGGGACTGGAGCTTACACTTGATAGGTATCAACCTTATTTCTCGAGTAAACGGGATATCGACCCAAATCCTACCAAATTGATCCAATCTTTTGGAATTAAAATTTCAGCTTCATGTCTAAAAAACTTAAAAAAGAAAGTCTTCTTATACAAAATAAGGAAGGGACCTCGATCTCCAGTAAGATACCTTTCATATAAATTTATCGGAAGATGGATTAACAAAAAAAGGAAAGAGGAAACAATATCACAAAAATAAAAAAAAATAATAAGAAAAATCTCTATACTTTGGAAACATCCCCTTGTCCTTTTTCAATCGTAACAAGACTGCCATCTTCTGTCCTTTCTAGAGTTAATCTTCCTTGTTTTGACTGCTTCCCAGCATCTGTTGTGGGGCTCTTCCAAACATCTCGCTGAAGTAAAAAAAATAAATAAATAAATAAACTAATTTGATATGAAAAAAAAAAAAAAACTGATATTTGGTATTGAAAGAAAAATAATGAGTTGAGTAAGTAACTAACACTTTCACCATTAATAACAACATGCGAGCATTTGAACGCACATTTCTGAGTGTCACGATCTAACTTTTGTAATAAAGCTCCTCCAGTACCAAAAACAATATTGTCTGCACTCCACTTATTACGAGTCACAGCATCCAGGATCTGAATAAAGGTAATATGAAATCTAAGAGGACGTCTCTTACCATCTCTCCGCCTAAATTTATTTGAATTTGATGAAATTGAAAAATGATAGACGAAAAATATAGCTGAAATCTAAAACTTAATTCCATGCGTATACCTGATGGAAAATACAGAATGTAAGAAAAATAAGTTACACTCACTTTTCCTATAGATTCGTAACATATACCATCACCTTGCATTACCCTCAGATAAGATGGTAAAAGTCGATAACCTTTCGAATTCGTCACAACAGGAAATTTTTCTGCCAACAAATTCAAAACCTAAAACAATATCAGGATAAAGGTGATGGTATAAAAAAAAAAAAATGATATAAAAGAAAAATGAAAAAGTCATCAACTGGACTGGGAGATTTTACACGAGTGAAAAATTTCAAATCGTAATCAAAAATTAAGCGAACCAAATTATAGTCATGCAAAACAGTACGTGTTAATACCATACAATAGCACTAAAAAAAGAAGCTTACAACAGTAACCGCCCATCACATCCCTAAAGATTATTCAATAAACACCCAATGGAAAAATGACTTATGACCACAACACGACTCTCTGCAAAGTGAAATTTTTAAAACTTATCTTTACAACCACTTGGCTGGGATCACCGCTATCAGGCCTGATAACAACGCATCCTCTATTGGCTCGATCGACCACATACTGGCGTAATTCATCGCCCCAAATATTAGAAACAGCGTGAAAGACATCATAGGAATCACTAACTACAGATACGGAACCATCGGGAAACTGTTCCAACATGTTCAAATATGCCGCCGATTCGCCAGATTTCTTCCACGTAGTAATTGTACTAAAAACCAACAATATAATCGTAATCGAATATTATTTTTCTTCAACTATTTGGACAAGCTGAAAAATTAAACAAAAATGTAACTAGTATGAAAATAAAAAACCAATTCCTTAGAAATCTCGAAAAAAAAAGTAACCTGTGTTCAGCTGCCGGAATGGAAAAGCCAGCCATTTCCGCCCCATAATATCTAAAGATCAGAAATTTCGAAACAAATTTCGGTTTATAGTGAAGCTATTTTTAAAATTTTTCATTAAAATATGGAAGCGGAAAGTAAAAAATAAGCATACGACTTACTTTTTACACAACTGCAAGCCAGCTATGGTATCAGTACCGTAGAAATTCACCAGATGTGCAGCTCCACCAATCGATGCACTCTAACATTGGGATAATAACTAATGTAACAAAAGAACTAGAATTTTTTCACCAAAACCAAAATACCAGCACTACTAAGCAATTTGTTTGGTAGTGCTGTGTAACGCTGAACACCTATGAATCAATCTAACATGGCAAGGTTTGAACATTCGGGAGAATAGAATTGCTAAATTGTTTCATTTGCTCTTGTACCGACAGCTGGAACTGTATAAGCAATCAGCAACTGTTCCAAATAAACAATTGGAAAGGAATTCATCAAGTACCTCAACAGAAGAAGCTCCACGATATCCGAAGTCATGGAGTTTGAAATGAATCCCATCTAAGGAGTCAGCCGTCTCATGCAAATAATGCGCTATGATGAGTTTTTGAGCTCTCGAATTCGTACATACTGTCATCGGATACCACACTTGGACCAGCAATGTCTAGAATGAAACTTAAAGAAGTTGCAGCTGACAAACTTGTACAGATTTTCTTTGCAAATGCTTTTTTTTTTCTACATAAAAAGAAATCTCATATTTATAATGCAAACAAAGTTTAACAAACAAAATTTATGAGACTTACAAAAGCTTCACAAGCAAATCATTACCTCAAACCAGTTGGTTAACCACGGCACGTGAGGATCGGTATTTTCAACAGTAAAAAGTACATTTTTAACAGGTACCACTGTACCCTCCGGTACCGCTTTGATCTTTAACGGCAGATGGCCGTTATGAACCTGTGCGAACAAAAGATAATGTAAAAATCTGTTAATGATAAAATCAGAAAATTTAGGCTATAATTCAGGAATATAAACTTACTTCAGCAATGTGATTCCATCCTTCTTCATTAAAAATGTCAAGTCCACCAAAGTGTGATTTATAAAATTGTTTCGCTTCGTCAATCATTTCCCTTGTGACCACTGGGCCAACAAGCCATCGTTTTATAATATACTGCAACAGTAAAGATGAAAGGTCAAAAATTCACTAAAAAATTATTGGATATTCATTTGGTAACAGTTAATGGAACTTTAAAATATCAAAACCAGCAGATCGTAAAGGTAAAAGAAAAAAATTTTGAAAAACTAGTGAGTAAAAAGGGTTACCTGAAGACCAAAAAAGCAAACTTCCGAAAACTTGCCACCACGACTTTCAAAATAACTGTAAACATGTGTAGTACCTTCTGGATACTGGTTATGATGCGTTACCTTAACATTTCTCGTTTTTATTCAAAATACATTACTCACCATCGTTTTAAATAAGGTTATAAAATTCAAGTGCGAAATCAGTGGCACGATAAAAAGATTATATAAATTTCATTTTTTGCTGGACTCAAGAAATCTTAAACAAAATCAGTCGAGTATTTCATTACACTGTGATGTATAGTATTAATATAAGAAAACCAAAAACCACTTATTACAAGATGTCTTGAGCAAGATGAAAACATTTAAAAAACCATATTTTGATCAGATTAAGTAAAATGATAGAACCATGAAAAATAGGTATAGCTAGTATCATTGCATATTTTCATGCTATTGTCGGAAGATCAAACGATCCGGCCGAACCTGATACTGCACATGATGCCTTGCACGATAAATATACCTTATATGAATCTGCGACATAGAGGACATTCTCGACTGATTCCATCTTGATGCAGTCAAATAAGTATCCCTGAAACTTTAAGATATCACAATATCAACATAAGATACCGACATCAGTTAAAACACATCCCAGAACAACCAATCATCAGACCTCCCAGACCTCTAAATATAAAGATTAATGCTATTCAAGTTATTATCACGGCCTAAATTACACAATCGTTAAATCCCTTTTGTCACTGGAAAGATTTTACGATTGGCTTGAATTGTTTTTATTAAAGCTAACAAATCGGAGAACTGGTTTTCAATCTTCCAACCGGAAATTCTATCTCATTGTAGAATAATCAAATTTTGGTAGGAGTAATGGAATTTTGATTTTGAAATGGTAAATTGAATGATAAAATGAAATCAAGATAAACTTCAGCTTTCGGAGTGATTACGTTAGTGTGTTCCATTTACAGTGATATCAGATTTCATGAAAATGTTGTGTGGCATAGCTGCTTATTCTATTCCAGTGAATCATCAAATTACATTGATAAATGCGTTTTTTTTTTTTAATAATTTAGAAGAATTAATTACGTAAATATTAATAAAATGTTAGCCAAATGGCCAACTAATCTATTTCAAAAACTTCAAAAAGCTTAGTTGAATAAACTGATAATGGAACAATTTACATAATATTTGTAGTGATTCATCAGGAAGAGATTATTTCGACCAATTTATTGTTTAATCTGATTGCTTGTTTTTTCCATCTTTAGAATTCTAAACTGAGCATTCATTTTCAGATTTCAAATTCAAATAAAAATGAAGAGCTATTGAGAGTGACAAATTTCTTATCACGGTATAATCTTACAGTATTAACAAACAATAAAAGTTCAATATGTTTATATTATTAGAGTTTTGCTATAAATGGAATATGGAATATGATTTTTACATATGATTTCTCAGCATTCTTTCAATAATGCAAACTACTTTTTCTTTTCCTTCTTTTTTATAAGAGCAATAACAAAACTAGAACATTTTGCAAGAAGAAAAAAAAAAAAAAAAAACATTTGAAACAGTTAAAATAAGTGAAATAAGCAAACTATGATTCAAATAAAGAAATATGATACAAAAAGAAAATTATCAAAAAACAGTCAAAAAAAAAAAAGAAAAGCAAGAACTTCTACTGCTTTTCTTGTTTTTTTTTTTTTTTTTCTTTTCAAAAATACCACAATATCTGTTTAATTTATTCATATTTTCAGAATTCTTTTTCAAATAAGGACTTCAATAAAAGTAACGGATGACAATTATAGCAAGAATGGTATGTATCAAGAGACATTTTAATAGATGTGAGTGAATGATAATGTTGAAGGACGTTAGAGTAGAAATGATGGAACTTTCATGACAGTATTTACTGCACTCCGAACTTCTCGTTAACCCGCAATGGGATGAGCATTCCAACTGTGTTGAAAATGTATTTTTGCAATGCTGTAAAGTTAAGAGAACAACATATGTGTCCTAATCACAATAATTATCATACATTTAATCAATTTATGTCAGCATCCTATCAATAAAACACATCAAGTACCACTTTCTCTTTTTTTTTTCTTTTTTTCGATGAAAAAAGAAACATAAATATAATTTAATTGATCGATTTTCATGATACGAACACAATACGGCCCGAATCTTTTTTTTTTTCTTTAGTCAAAATAAGAAACTTCTCATAAATTGGATATAAAAATTTTGGAAGAGATAAAAAAAAAAAAACATTCTATGCAAGTTATATCAAAAGCAGATCGTTTATCACAACACCAACGATACAAATTTGAAAATGGACATAAAAACAGAGCACCAAGATTTCAAATGTAATAAATACAGGTTTTCTAAACAATAAGAGAAATATTGGCAACATTTCGAGATGCTATTCTCCTAATGTGTTCAGAAAACAAAAAAGAGGAAAATAACGAATAACGAAAACAGCGGAAAAGATGTATCGGTACACGAATTATGACCAAAGACGTGACAAAAATAGCGCACCAAAGATTACATTCTAACTATGCAACCAACCATCGTCCTATTCATAATCACGCTTTCAAATCAGCGAAAACAATCAGTGCGCAAAGCAAATGAAAGTGTTGAAAGAATTTTATTTGCAAGTGTTCGAAAAAATGCAAATACGTTGTTCAATATGAATTATAAAAATATAATAATAAAAGGTGATTATCTCTTATTAATAACATCTGTTCTATAACAAGATAGAAAGAATTACATATCACAAACTTGTGGATAACACCACATTTTCAATAAATCACTGCGAAAAGAAATTTGATTTTTTGTAGACCATCATTTCGGGAGCTGATAACAAACTCTCTGCCAGTGCCACATCATTATTTATGGCTGTTTTTAGCTCATCTAAAAACTTGTAGATTCAGTATCTTTCACTGCTCATTTTTGTGATAATGGTGTAATGTTTGCAAAGGAAATAATCGATAACGTTTTGCAGTGGAAATTTGGTTAAAAAAAAAGAATGAAAAGAACAGGAAAAACAAAAAGATAACCCAAAGAATTAAATGCAACCATAGGACGCAAAAAACCAACTAAAACAGCACGGACTTCGGCACCATAGAAATCTTCCTGGAAATCATGAAGTATATGGACTTCCTGAAATGGCATAAAATGATTACTACTATCTTTTCGGACAATCAACACATCAAATAATAATATCTGAAACATTTGGAAACGGCAATAATGTTTAACTGCTGAGAGAGAAAAATTTATGGAAATATGTGTATTGCACACAACATACAATTGTTTTCCGTTCATTTTTGAAGTGTGGATTCCATCCGATGCTAGTTACCATTCCATATACTTCACCACGGTTGACATTTGCAAACCCATAAAAGACGCCACATGGAAAATGAGGAGGTAGGCATAAAATGACATTGTCATCCATATTTGCTGCAGATATTTAACTCTAACTCATTCACAAAATGGAATAACAAATTTCAAATGAAAGATAATAACATATTTCTGTGTTAGGAATGCAGTATTATTTTGACTATTTCATACTAAAAATATTCAATATTTAGACAGCTGAAATAAAATTAAAATAAGTAATTTGATTTTTCATACGGTGACAGCAAGTTCAGAAATCTATTACTCTGAAAGGATTACATCTGTATTATATATCCCAAATTACAAAAAACATCGACAAAAAAAAATTTCAGAAAATTTACACAGAAAACACAATTACAGATGTTATAAACGACTGATGTTCCTTGACTCGAAGAACACAAGAATTCCAAGGCTTTCCGTCATTTTCACTCCATCTTTCCTTTTCTATATTTTATCAGATTGCATGAAGATTTACGAAATTTTACTTATGTTTTCGGTCATAAATTTAATTCGGTTAATTTCCGCTATATTTCTGTAATATAATACGAACTCTACCGAATCCAATTCATTATCATCTAATTTTGATCAACAGAGAAAGCAACAATAAAATCGTCGAACCGTACCAGTAGGACAACCTAGCTTTCGACCACCGCGACCAAATCCAACAACAACAATTCCACGAAAATAATAGGGATAAAGATCTAGAAAAAATAACCGTAATGTCTTTTATTGGATGCATGTAAAATCAACAAGTATGAAAAACAAGAATAAAGTGTATAGAAACAATGGGAATGAAATTCATTAAACTTAAAACAGCAAATGAAATCCATGTATAACGATGAATTCTAACCTACACAATGTATCCATCGCAAACAAAATTGTCATACTACATATAACAGTTAAATTTAGGCTGGATTTTCAAAACTTACCATCTGTCGAACCGCCAACTGCTTCATCTCTATTTGAATCATTCATAATAGTTTTGGAATTCCTGTTGCAGTTAGCTTGATTCGGAATCATTCCTAACTTTCGTTTTCTTCCTTTTATAAATGGCTACAAGATAACTTCCTCTCTGCGACAATACTAATCCTGAAAATGAAAGCCTAACTTTTTCTCTCATAAAAGAATTGAAGACTGACAAAATAAAGTGATATTTAACTCTTTCTGGTACTATTTAAGTTTCAATATTCAATTAATAAGACTATACAAAACAAATTCATGTCTACTACATCAAAAGTTTAAGATATTAATACAAATGTACAATAAAAGTTTGAATATTCAACAAATATTCTGTTCTGATTTAACATATAACTATGAATTGTATACGTCTCACGTACAATAATGTTAATTGAAATTCAAAATTCAATAAAAAACCCATTTAGTCTATTAATTTGAAACTTATGTGTTCCTCATATTCAATCAAATAAATAAAAACAAAAAATAAATAAATAGATAAAAGAGTAGCAAAAGACAACCAAACATAATTTTCAAACAAGCTTTGTCAAAATGGCAGAAGAATTTACCATTGTTGCGTAACGACACCTCGCGGGAGTCAAAATGCTGAGACTTCTGTTTCAGTGAGTTCTTATGACAATTTTTCTTTTTACTTTACAACTGGGCATGTTTGTATTATTATTTCGTCACATTTTTCGTATAATCCATCATTGTCTTCTTTTTTTTCTTCCTTTTTTTGCTTGTTCGTTTATCAATTTGGTGAAGAAAAATAACTTTAGGAGGATATTGTTGGAATGAATAGTTTGATTTTATGCTTCATTGTTTTTTTTTTTTCTTTTCCATATCTATTATCAGTAATTATACTCATTATAATCTCTAATACTGGATATTTCTTTGAATTGAGAATGAATTTTTCAGAAATGATTCATTCATGCGTATTTGTATGATATGTAAAACGTTATTTTGTATAGTATGTAAAAATTCGTTCATGCGTATTTGTATAGTATGTAAAACGTTTTGATTTATTGATTTTGTTATAGGTCAGCTATTATGATCAATGAAGGTGATGGTAATAATTACCTGAGTAAGTATTCCCAAGATGCTGGTACTTGTAGAGGTGAAAATAGCACAACTGAGGTGGGTTTTTAAAATGAAATTTTCATTTTTATATTTGAAACGAGAAATCATCTGTAATCTGTGTTAGTAATTATATGCATTTTTCAAATTGTCTTGTCCGACATATAACTAAGTTTGAAGTAGGGTAATGAATTGCGTTGAATGTTTCAGATATGCTAATATTTCTGCCATTGTCATTTTTTTTTCTTTCTTTTTTTTGCATTTCCGTATACGGATTAAAAATTATGAGAAAGTTTTGGTTGTCTGAATTTGTAACCGTAAATTTTTTCTTTTTTTTGAAAAAAATGGTGTTAAATGAATCAAAGGAGGGGAGAGAATGGAGGGTAAAGATTAAGCGAGGGATGATGTGGCGATGGTTAGCTTTGGGAGTAGAAGTAAAACTCATAACATATATATAATAAAAATGAATATGGATAATGTTTTGACTCTCTATTGCAGTTTAAACACCTTCTTTCTCACTTTTCAGATAGTGTTTCTAAGCCAATTTCAGGGCTGCAATGTGGACAGGATCGTGTCAGATGCTAATAACGCAGAACAAGAGATTATCATGAGTCGGAAACCAATTCTAGAGCAAGATCGTTTCCTTCCCATTGGTATGCATATTCTTTTATGGTGATATGAGTATCTATAAATGGATATTAATATATTGCGTTTTGAGTATATTCTGACCACATACCATATAATTTCCTTATAGCAAATATATCCCGGTTGATGAAAAATGTGATCCCTCGTTCCGGAAAAGTTGCCAAGGATGCAAAAGAATGCGTGCAGGAATGTGTCTCCGAGTTTATTTCTTTTATTACATCCGAAGCCTGCGATCGTTGCCTTAATGCAAGTGTATTTTCCGTTTATTTTAAGAATAAATAAGTAAATGTTCTGCTTTATTTCAGAGAGGTTTTCTGTTCTGCTTTATTTCTTAAACCGTGATAGTGTATCATTCAAAATTGAGATAAATGGAGACTTGCAGATAATGTTATAATCCGAAAATTAAGGAGTTTCATTGGGTTGTCATCAGTTTATTTCATGTTGAAATTATGCTAGCTGTGGAATAGCATTTCTTTGTCTATTTCTTTGTTTCTGAAATTGAGATTTGCAGGAGAAAAGGAAAACGATAACAGGTGAAGACATTATTGGAGCTTTTGCTACTCTTGGTTTTGACAATTATGTGGAACCGCTGAACGCTTACGTGAGGAAGTACGTAAATTTTATCCTATTTTCACCATTCTTTCCAAGATGATATTGAATACAAAAGATGGTAAATGGTACGTTATTCTGTGTATATACTTCCAGTCATTCCAGATTTCGGGAAGCTTTTCGTACTGATCGTAGTAGCACTGAAACACTTCTTGTTGAACCTTCAGGATCTCTTGCTTCCTTTACGGTTGGTTTTCTTAAAAATTATTTTTCATTTCTCTTACAAACTAGTTATTTTCAGTCTTTTTCCTACTGTCAGAAAATCCTTAATTCTAGCAGAAAATAAGTGTTCGTGAATCGAATCAGTCCACTTCTTCTGGTGTTTTTACCATCCAGAATGAACCAGTACCATCCTCAAGTGCATGTGCTCCTCAAATTATTTTTGCAAGTATGAAGTATTTTATTTTTTCAAGGTACTTCTGACTTAGCCTCCTATTAATTGCGGTTTCAAGATGAGCAATTCCACCAAATATAGTTTTGAATAGACCAAATAGAATTTTCAAGAATATTGGAACTTTCTATAGTGAATACGATTTCAATTTTTATAGGCGAAGAAGATCCAGATGGTTCAATACGAGTGATGAGTACAGGCAACGTGCAGCATTTGCAACTTTTGATGGATCCCGCTACTGGCCAACACTATATTAATGTGCAAAATCCTAATGGCACTCAACAACTTCTACCTGTGCAGGTAAATCTGCATAATTATAAATGTGCTTTTTTAAAACTGATTTTTTATTCCTTTAAACCTGACAGATTTATCTGAATTTTTGTAGACAGCAATTCTGCAGGTAACGACAGTTGCTGATTCTTCTGCCACGCCACTAACCCTAGCTTGTCCGGAAGTGCAGAATCTAACAGATGGTAAAACGGCTGACAAAGAACTGCTTAATTTCTCGACAAAAACTGAATTTCCGCCGTTATCGAAATCTGAAAATATAGCTTCGACGTCGTACAAAGAGTTAAGTTGTTCTGTCAAGTGAATTTAGCACATCAGCACTGGATTTTCAAAGTGACATGTAAATTACCAACATCAATAGTTCATTCCGGTGGTTCACCGTCTTTTTGTAATGGCATTAATACGGATCAAACATAACTTTTATGGATTTCTAAAAAAGCACATTTTTTAAAGCATAAAACCAACCCCTTTGAGTCTCTCTGTGATTAGATTCATTATAATTCCACTTTGTATTCCTTTCAAGTTTTCAGTAAGATTTTTCCACCTTAACGCAGAAAGTGTTCTGTTTTAGGTGTCGCAGGTTACACGACATACTGGGGAACAATCTAGGAGTAGTATCACCTATGGACTGAAGCATAGTTCCTCTGGCCTTTCGACAGAAAACCAGCACAAACAGCAGGTGCCATATGTTGGTAATGTTGGATCGTTCGGACATCATCAAAGTAATAGTGGTACTGCTGATAGTAGTAATCGGGAGCCACCAAGGAAGCGGTCTCATGAGAGTGTTGATTATATTAGCTTTGAGTGAGTATGCATCATTTCATCGAACTTTAAGTATTTATTTTGTTTAGTGGATTTGGTCAAAGTTGAGAAACCGATCGACCACTTTATCTTATTATTTCTATATTTCTTTTCCTTTTCTCCTGTTCTTTTCTTACCCTCCATCTTAAGCCTTGCAACCATTCCTCTGCCTCTTGCCTCCACATTTCTTCCACTTCCTTCTGCTGAGCAACACTATCTTTTCTCTATTTTTTCTCCTCAAAAACAATTTCTTCCATCTTTGAATTTTTATTACCTTTTGTGTTACAGTTTTTTTTTTTTTTTGTCTTAATGTCTTCTTAAAGTCATTTGAAATCCTTCCAAATGCTTTCTTCAGCAGGAAGAGGAGCTGGCGTCATTCATTTCTGTCTTCATTTAAAAAATGCTTATAATTTAAATCTTTTGCTCTATATCTAATAGCAATTTTTGTTGGATACATGCTAAATGTTTATTTTTTCTCCTGGTACTTATGATGACGTGTATACGATGATATTATGATTCGTTTTCTCTTCGGCGATATTTTAAATTTAATTTATTTCACAGGTATGTGAAAGTTCGTCATGGATCGTATTTTCAAGAATACTAGAGAGAAGAATTAGAATAGGTTTAATTTCAAAAATGGGAACGAAGTTGTTGCGGCTTTTTACTCCGGCTCGGTGCTATTACCGTTTCATTTTTATGAACTTTTTATAATTGTTGAAAATGAAAATTACTTATTCACTCATTCGAGCTAGTTATCTGTCTTCAGGAATGCAGTTTACGGTGCTTAATGGAACATCCTTATTTGTTACACTTCATACTCATTTGTCTATTATTATGACTTCAACACCCCTCAATTATTGTCTTGTTGCATTAGTTTGAGGAGAATATTTTTTAATTTATGCAAAGTTATTCTTGAGTTTTTTTTTTTTTTTTTTTTTGCATAAATTAAACATTATTTGTTCTTTCTTTCATTGTTCGTGTCAAATTTCTGTCATCAGTCATAGTTTGCTTTTTCAGTGATTTCAGTTGTATTGTAACTTTTCAAATGAGAAGTTTATTTAATGCTTTTTTCCTTGTAAAACTATTTGATTTTGTCTTTGTTCTTACAGAAAAAAAGATGATTTGTATTACTGGAAGAGATCGAGGAGATCCAGAAGAAAAATCAGTAATAATTGGTGCTTTTCTTAGAAAACGAAATCCTTAGGACCTTTTCAGCTATGAGTGTTTTACCGGATTTTCTGATGAAATCGGCAACTAACCTCAGATATCATTACGTATCAATGCTTTGAAAGAAATTTCTTTAGAACCTACTTGTTGAGTTAACAGTGGTTTCAGAAGTATTATATTTGCTACAAGCTAATTATTTTTTAGGAGGTTTTTCGTCTTGGAAATTATGCAAATTTGTCAGTCACCTAATGTATATTTTGAATTTCATAATCCCTTTATTTTTGGTGAAATGACTATCATTTATTAGTTTGGTAGGAGATGAAGGTACATTTTTATTCCACAGTAATCCTTTAGAAATTATTTTGATTATCATCAAAATCTTTAGAAATTTTTGATGATCATCAAAACGTGATACCACTAAGGAACCAAATTAATTTAACAAAATGTTTCTGGAAATTTCATCCGGAAACACATTTTGCTATTCAGAGGGACATTTTTTCACAATCGTCGCTGCAATTTTTAAATACGAATGAATGCTTTTAAGTAATATGACAGAATATTAATAAACTTGAAAATGATGTCCATTTGTGTTGGATTATTCATATTTTTGGATAATTTCATGGATAAGTTTCAGATAGTTTCCTAAAAAAAGTCCATTTCTATTATGAATTTAGGATTACATTACAAAATTGAAGAAGTGATTTTTGCTTTTCTTATAATATATTACTATTAATTTTCTTATGCATTATTTTATTTTATGATTAAATCTTGTTGTTTCAAAAAAAAAAGAAAAATTTAGAAGAAAATGTTCAATTCCTTGAAAAGAAAAGAAAAGCAGATTGTTTGAAACAATTTCTAAAATTAAGTAAGAACTTTTTTTTTTCCTTTTATTTGTTGAATTTTATTTTTCTGATTGTAAATGACTTTTTAAGCATTTATTTGTTTCGAAATGAATTTGATATTATCATTTTCGAGTGTATATTATTTGCATCAATCAAATCATAACAAATGGTTTAAGTAAACTATAAAATGCAAAATATGTAGACGGTAGAAATAAAGTTACAAATTTTTTTGAAAATTACAAATTTTCTAATTTTTACACACCTACATAGGTATTCTCATCTTCATTCATCCGAACTAATTGCTCTCGATACCTGTAATTTTTTTTCCCTTCCCCATTTCTTTTCTTATTTTAAACTTTTTTTTGCTCATTTGTCATCTATTCATCATTTTAAACTTCCACCTCTGTTTCTGGTTTACCGTATATCGATAGTTTCCATTACGATAAATTTATCTTTTGTATTCATATAACGAAATTTTACAAAAATATGATATTAATCACTAATTAAAGATCAATTTAAAAAAAGAGAGAGAAAAAGGAAAAACGAAAGAGAAAAAAAGGCAGCTGTGAAAAATTTTTAAGTAATAGTAACAATACTTCATTTCGTAACATAAAATATCCAAAAACAAAAAAAAATTTTTTCTTTTAACAATAATATTTGTATAAAATAATTATTTATTAACCAATGTTACAAATATTTTTATAAAATAAATATATATTCACTTCGATATAAAATTTTTATCTGATGCAAATATTTGTGATATAAGAAATAATGGAAATATTTTTTTAATATGTACAGAAATATTGTAATCCTAGAGCACTTTTTATCTCGTCAAACAGAAAAAAACCATAATTTACATGTCAGCTTATTTAGATATTATTGCAAATTTCTTAAAATTACAGAGTAACAAAATTTTAATAAAATATATGCAATTTTTATTTCCAAATATGTGCATTCACTAGAGTTCTCTTTCTCTTTATCCATTTATCTTACTTTTTCTTTTACTTTCAAAGTTTTTATAATTTATTTGATGATAAATTCAATGATTTATTATATTAAAATGATTATCTAGAACATTTTAATCCATTTATTCCTTTTAATTTAAAAACATTTTTTTTTTAAAAAAACAAACTGTGTAACTACTTCGTTAAACTATTTGTTTTAATATATATATATATATATATTTTACAAATGTATATTAAAATGTTAACTTCATAAACATTTCTTGCTCTTTTTTTTGCAACTTGAGATAGGCAAGAAGAAGGGAAACAGCAGGTAAAAAGAAAAGAACAGAAGAAAATATTTCTCAATCACAAATAAAAAGAAAAGAAAAATGAAAAGAAAAGTGGAATAATTCTAATAAAAATTAAAAAGATCTTGAAATTTCGAAAATCTAATTTAATCAATATATAGCAAAAATTAAATTGCTAAATTACAAACTAAACTTATTTAATTAGACTAAATTCCTCTTTATTATAAATTATGAATCATTTAAATAATTCCCAAATTAATAATATCAACGAATTATTTTCCATATTTCCTCAAATTTGTACATTTTAATTTCACTTCCTCTTAATTCTTCGTTTCTATCTATAACCAGTACTACGATGAAATGCATATTAATCACAGACATAATCAAAATTACGACATTAACGAAGATAAAATTATAACCGCGGCATATATTAATGATAATTTTTTAAATCACTAATTTTGCTTTATTAATTCTAAATTAAATTTGCTAATTTCATGATATTTACTTATAACATAATTGAATGCAAAATTACATTTTGCAGAGCAACTTATAGTTCTAATAAATGAAAATAAGCAACATCATGACATATTTTACCTCTAAAATTTGCAAATATAAAAAATATATGTAATTCCAAAATTTTAAATGACAAAAAAGAAGGAAAAAATATAAACCTACAGCGTTTTCCACTGCCTTTCTTTCTCAATTTTTTTTTTTTTTGAAAAAGAAGCAACTCAACGAATTGTAAAAATGCAATAAGATTGAATGTTCAAAAGATGAAGATTATGTAGCATTACATTGCACACTATTTTCACATTGGGTTTTAAGCTAATCAGCAACAAACAGCCAATTTTTCCACACTTACAATGATAACGACAATGATAATAGTGATAATGATGATAATAATAATAACAACAATGATCAACGACAAATTTTTTACATCTCATTTCTAAGTGTCTGCATGTTTATATGTGAATATCTGTGTGTTGTACGTGTATGTATGTATGTATGTTTAGAAGAGTTTCTCAAACTTTTAGTATTTACAGCTATGCATCTTCATCTTCGTTACACTTCTTTTTTTTATTACACTAAACGGCTTAAACTTACACCATTTAACCCGTTACATTTTCCATAAATGAATCACTTTTTTTTCTTTTCTTTTTTTAGCAAAATTTTTTTAACTTATTCATTAGCTCCTTCTTCTTTTTCTTTTTTTCCGTCTATCTCACCCTTTTCATTTTATTTATTTATTTTTTTTTTAAAGAAAGAAAAAGAAAAACTTAAATTATCTCTAACCAAATTTTGTCGTTATTCTAAAAGTCTTTTTCTTATTAAATTTTTATGTCAAATTTAAGAATATTTTATTAGCTATTTATTTTATTTTTATTTTTTGAGTTACAAACCAATACAACATTATCCAAAAAAAGAAAGGACGAAAAAAAAATGAAAACTTTTTTTTATTTTATACTACTCCAGAGATTTCTTTTGAGATAAATTATGTTATTTCATTGAAATCACAATCTATATTTGAAAATGTTTAATATCGGTCGATTTTTCATTTTTTTTCTGTTGAAGTTTTTCAGAATAAAAGAAAAAAAAAATAATTTGTACTGTCTAGAAGGATAGAAAAGAAAGTACGAAATTATTTCATCTCTTCATATTAATAAATAATAATAAATGGTTTTGGTTTAGATTTGATTACTCATTTTTCATTTCAGATATTTTATTCATTTTTTTCTACTCCTCTTTCTCTTTCATTTTCATTTAAACCCAAAAGGTCATTTTAAAAATGTTATATTTTTTAGAAAATAATACCAAACTATAAACTATATTAAATGTTATTTGCAGGATTGCTAAAAAAGGAATGAATGAGTATCACAAAATGATTGATGGAAAAGAACAAGTGGAAACTGAAATTATTTAAATTATCAAAATGTATTTGTAATAAATTATGGAAAATTTACAATCAAAGCGAATATATTTTGATGCCGAAGATCGACCACCGCCATCATATTGGCATGGTGAAACACAAATTCACCCATCAGATGATGATAATTTTAAAATATCACATGAAAATGAAAATTTCTTTCCATTATCTTCATCAAAAGAAATTAAAACTAAAATAGATCCTAAAGGTGAATTCATTACTTTTTCTTTTTATGGTTTTTCATTCAAATTTCAATTCATTTATGTGCACACCTCTTTTTCTCTTTTTTTTGTATAGAAATCTAAAATTTTTTTAAATTTCCATTGAATCATGTGAAATAAGCGTTGAGAAGTAAAAAAAAATGTGGCGAAGTGTTAAAATTGAAAATTTGTTAAATTATTAGTAAGACCACAATTTTGTTTAATAGCAATATCGCTGTAATTTTCGCTTTTCGATTATTGAAATTGAAAAGGTAGAAATTTTTTTTTTTGTTGAGATAAGAAATTCGAATTAGAATTTCCCAAGTCAGGAATTAAAAAAATGAATTTCTTTCATATGCTACACTTACGTCTAAAATCGTTTTTTTTTTTTTTTTTTTTGTTGTTGAAATCCTGATTTGAAAAATATCATTCCTAATATTAACGAATTCAAATAAGCATTTACTTCATTCACTTACTTTAGTAGATTGGAAAACAAATTGGTGCTACTAACTTTTTGAATTGATTTTAAAAAAGAAGAAAAAAACTTCAAATGCTAATTTTTTCCTCATTTTTTGATGGACCTTTTTTTGTTAAAAAAAATAAAAAAACTTGCCTTTGTTTCTTTTTTTTTAGTGGAAGAATATTTTTAAAATTTAGAAAAGAAATTATAACAATGCCTTTCTCTATCATTAGTCTTCAATTTACTTAAAATTTTAAATTGACACTTGATATTTTATTCTTTTAGAATGGTTAAAAGCACCAGAATTTGTTCCCCGATCAAAGCAAATTTTGGATCAATCGTTTCATCCTGATGAAATGATATTTGCAAATAATTTACCAATTAATAATTCGATCAATGGGATTATTTTGCGTAATCATATTTTACGACAACAACCTCAAGCTCATGTTTTAGCTGCAACTGCAGCTAGAATGCCATTTTCACCCGTTCGTACTATTCTTGATCTACCACAACCGATAATATCTGCACAAAGTAAGTGCTAAATTAATTAATCATATTATGGTTAGAATTTAATAAATTGACAATTATAATTAAATTTAAAATAATTATAAATTAATCATGTTTTGGAAATATCTTATTAATGCTCAAATAATCAATACGGCACTTTTCTACACATGATATTTTTTAAATGATTAATTATCAAAATAGAAAGAATATTTTAAATAGTTTTAAAATACATTTGCTATTATCATTATTCAAACTTTTCACAGATATGGTACCATTTGCAATAGATCAATCCACACCACCATATTGCATGCCAACCGTGACTGCTACACCGCCACAACAACCACAACCATTACCAACATCGTTACCATCTGGTGCAGCAATGATACGTTTTCCGATACCGTCATTTAATCAAACTGCTTTAGCTTTACGTGATGCGCTTAGCATGGTGTCACCTGGCTATTCAGCTAATATTACTCACATAAATTGCAAGTGATTTGATAGATTACAATTTATTTTCACATAATTTTACATTTTTATTATTATACAAATTTAAATGATACGGTCATTTTGATTAAGAAATAATAATAATCAAACAGAGATAAATCATTAAGGAAAAGAGTAATGACAATTATGCATATTTTTTATTCTTTTTTATAATTAATTAAAAATTTCATGTAAAGTTTATAGATTGGAATAAAAAGTTACGATATCAATAATTTGCAATTACCATTTTTTTCCATTTCTCATTCTTTTACCAGTATTTATCAAATTTAATTATCTGTTGAATAATCTTTCCTTCCATTTCATTTGCTCCTTCTCTCTTTTTTTTTCTCCTTTTATCCCTCTCTCTCTCTCTTTCTCTTCCTCGCTTTAGTAAAATGAAATTAAATCAATGTGTTAAAAATACAAGATGTTGGAACTGATCATAATTTCTGATTTTTCGAAGAAAGAAAAAAAATTCTCTCTCTAATAAATTCAATCTTGTTGTATTTAAATCTCAATCAAAATTTATCGGGAATAATTAGAAGCATAGGACAGAAACTGTAAGCTGTCACCAACTGCCAATCCCACTATCCATTATTATTATTTGGTATTTTAAATCTACTATGAAAGTTTTCAAAAAATTTCAGCTGAAATCGGTCTTCCAATTCCGGCCGTTATTCTAAAGAAGAAGCGCAGAAAAAGGCATCGTCGTTTAAAAGCTAATTTGTCTAGTGCTACTGAAGTAATTTTCATCAGCCTTGTAAAAAAAAAGAAAATTTGAAATACTAAGATAATCGATTTCATATATTTCGACCAGTTTAATACTTGTCAATTCACATTAAATTGATTGTTTGCTATAATTTATTTGTCGTAATTTCAGTTTTCTTTTTTTTTTTTTTTTTTTCATAAATTAATTTGATCTTTCATTAATAAAATGTTTAAGAGATTTTAGTTCATTGTAGCAATAAATACTAAGGCTCATAAGAAGTTAGGAGCCATATGAAATTGTTTTAGCTAAACCTCATAAAAAAATTTTTATAGAATCTCAAAATTTTCAATTTAAATTTTTGTAAAATTACAGCGAGTAAACGGTGATAGTTTCTGCAATGGTTTAGAGGCATTCGGCGATGAATCAACCCAAACACAACTTCAAGCGATATCTTCTGAACCAAATTTAAACAAAGTTATTTTTATTTTTCTTCCAGTTTCATCAGTATCTAGTTTTCAATCTAGTTTTCAAATTAAAATCTACTTAATATCGTACTTAATGAGGAATATTTCGAATTATTTAGCATGGATAATAAAGAAGTAACACCTTAGACACATATTTGTATTTTTTTGTGAATCATTTTGAAAAGACTAAGCTTTAAATTACTCTAATCTATTCATTTATTCACAAGACTTTTGACTATTTAAAAAGATTAGCAATTACTTTAACCATAAATGATATTCAAAGATTACTTCAACATTTTTAATAATTTGATTTATTCTACATCAAAATGAATGAATTGGGTTAAATTTTTTTTTAATTCAAATTAATTGCTGCATAAAATTGTTTAAAATAAGCAATTAATAATTAAAATTAATTAGTTGAATTAATTGATTAAAATTAATTGAATAATTAAAATTAATCCAATATTTAAACTTCAAATAAACATATTTAACACAATTCAAATGTTTTAAGAGATTTTATGCAATAAAAAATGAAATTTATTATCAGAACAATAATTATGAGACATATTGTAGAATTCATTATCAGAGCAACCATCAACCGAAGATGCATCAAATAGCGAAACGCATCCACTTGGTGGCTCATGTCCAGATTTATCAAATTCACAACTTTTGCTATGGGATAATTATCTTGTAATTATCAGTATTACTTCATTAAATAATCAGTGATAATACGTTTAACTAATCGATTGAGTAATTAGTTGATAGTAACAAAATCAGTTGATAATATATTTAACAGCAAAAATTTCAACATAATTCTGTAAACATTCAATAATATCATTAATATTATCATCAATAAATGGACAAAAAAAAATTTTTATTTCTATAATTGTAGTTTGATACTATCATGAATGAAACAAACGATATAATCAACGAAGAAAATGCAAATGCATTAACAGTTGATCCAATGCAACAATCTGGTTTGCATCATTTCCAAATGTTGATTAAATTTCTCCCAAATTTTTTGTAATTAACTTTGAAATTTAAATCTGAAAAAAATTTTAAATTTAAGACTCAACAATCGGTTTATAGATTTCTTCGTTTTTAATTTTTTCAATAATTGATATAGATGTTCTATCTAAAATTAAAACTATAACTTTCGGTTATTTTATTAATATATCAGAATAATGATAATGATAGTAATTTAATTATCATAATTATGTTACTTATTTATTCCAGAATATGAGATAGCATCACGTCCAGTTCTTGCAGCAATGGATTCTGCATTGCATGCAGATGGTATTTATTCTAAAAGTGTTCGGCAATTAGATCGCTTCTTACAAGGTTAAGCATATTTATTTATTATAGCATTTTCCTAACAAATATTGAATGATTATTTGCTCGTATTCAAGTTTAAAAATTCAGAGGACTTTAATTCATGATTTTATTAGTAAAATTCCATTTAGTATTTGAAAAATTGCTTTTTATGAATAAGCTGAATATTTTTTTTTACAAATTTTATTTAAATTTCTCAAAGTATTGCTAATTTAAAAATGATTTTTGAAATATTTTTTATCATCTAAACCTAGAATTAATTGAAAAAGAAAGGAAAGGAAAATGATAATTCTAATTTTTTTTCTTTTTTTTTTTCTATATGTATCACATTTTTCATATTAGTATCTCTTTCAAATATCTTGATTAAAATTTAAAGGTGATGGTAGTAATATCGATGATTCATTATCTGAAGATGGTCTTGTTGAGCGTTTACGTGATAGATTTGAGAATCAATTTCTCGATTCACCTGCATCAACAACTAGAAGTTTAAAGGCTGAATTTGAGGAGCTTTCATTTCGACCAACAATTTCGGTAAAAATTAGTTTCGTTAAAATACAATTATTTTTTATTTCAAAATTTAATCTCATATTATTGACAAATAAATTTGAGTGATTTTAAAATGAAAGAAAAAAAAAACCAAATTATTTGATTAATCGCTTATCAAACAGAAATTACAAATAACTCTAATAATAATAATAAATATTATATTTTAGAAATATGGTTATCCACAAGCAGATTTTTCTTCTCTTCAAATAGCAACATTCAATCCACAGTATAATACAACAACATCAACAATTTTAAAATCTAAAGAAGTAATATTTATCTAATTTTATAAAAGAAAAGGAAAAATAATAACAAAAAAAAAAAACTAATTATTGACATGCATTTTTCACACACGTTTCCAACAATTTTTTTTTTTATTGATGAAAAAAAAGTTGAAAAATTGTCAAAATGATTAGTATTCATTTATAGATTGATCGTCATATTGAAGATTACTTTGAAGGAGGACATATACGTTTAAATGCATTTATTGGTAGTGATGTAAGTTCTATTTTCATTTAATCAAATTATTTAAAAGAAAAAAAAAATCATAAAAAGAATATTTTGGAAATATTCGCTTATAAGAAATTTTTTGACGATAAATTAATAAGTGAAATATTTTTATTTATAAATTAAAATTAATTCTATAAACTAACACCAATCATTTTCTTTTTTTTAAAGGAAATTTTCAGGATTTAGCTTTGTCCGATTCTGAGCTACCACAACTATCACGTTTCCAGCAATTGCAGTGGACAATACAACAAAATACGAAATATTATACTAATTTGGCAACACCAAAAAATATGTGCTGCAGTATCATGTAAAATACTAACAGTATTGTTTAAATCAATAAAAAGATAAGAAATTATTGATCCATCAATTTAAATAATTAACAATTTCACTCGGCCAACATTTGCTAATTTTTCGTAATACATTAATGCACGAGATTATAGCTTTGTTTCTCCTTTTTCTTTTCTTTTCTTTTCTTTTTTGAAATCATTAAACTTTCCAAAAGTGTTGTAATTTGTTTGCAAAATTGAAAATACTAAAATATGAAAAACCTATGATTACTTGTTATATATGCTTGAAAAGATCATTTTACACTTATAATTTTAAATAATGAATTACAATTTTTATGATACTGCAACAAATATAATTAGCAAATGATTCCCTTAATTACTAACTTATCTATATCTCAAAAAAGTTTGAAAAAGTGATGATAATATGATAAAAGTTAGGAATGGTGAGAACTTTTTTTATCCGTAAAATTTTCGAGAAGTCAAGAGATGATTTTATTACCTTTTTACCTTTAATTGATAATTTCATTTCTAAGGAATCTAAAGAATCTGTGGATTCTAACCAAGAAAAAAAACCTATACTAAAAGATTATCGGAACAAAAAAAAGAACACTTCAAGTGTCGAAACGTCACATCCTTGCAAAATATCAGTTCATTTTTTTTTTCTTCCAAATTTTGAGAATCGATTACATTCATTTATGAAAAATATGCAATGCTTTTGATTCAACTACTAAATTAAACTGAATTAGCTATTGTTATTGATTTCGCTTGAATTTATGCTTTCTCCGGAATAGATCTACCTTTTTTTCTTTTTCGATAATTCTACATTAATAACGATAAAACCTAATAGTCTGATTAAATCAGAAAATGTTTAGATAGTTAAGAAATGAAACAAATGAAGAGATAACTAATGAAGAGGAAATAATCTTAGCTCAATAATATGTACTTATCCGATGAAAGAATGAACGAAACTTGTGATAGAAGGTAATTAGATCACAAAAATAGATCAATAAAATTGAAAATATGATTTATTTTGAAGAAAAAAAAGTTGAGTAAAAGAAAAAAAATTTCGAAAAATTTAATCAAAAATTTTGATTAATTTTATAACTGCGTGTGTATCGCACGGTGTAACACATTATCTGTGATTGCCTTAGTTCATACGTAACACGGTATCCGTGACTATCTTACTTCGTACGTAGCACGTTGCACGTGATCGCATATCTCGCACACGAGAAAAATAAACGACCCCATTACCTCTGCATAAAACCGCACCTAAGCAGAAATCATTCATTCTTAAAAAACTTTCTGTTCTTTTTTAAATCAAATATAACCAACGCACGGGAGGTGATTCCATCTTTCGTGTTAGGACCCATCAGCTCATATAATCGTCTAGCTGCAAAATTCGACGGAATCTTATTGCGACCCGCAACAGGGAATGAGAAACGAATGAGTTAGCTTCAGTTTGTGGCTTAGTTTAACGGACCGTGAGTTGAATTTATGGTGAGGAATTACTGATGAGATTACTAGTTATTTAAATTAATTCTCAGTTTGTATATAGTGATCTTAATTATTTGATTGCGGTTATAGTATGATGAAGTTGTGTCTGAAATCTGTAATTTGTAGTTTTTGGATTATAGTTTAATAAGACGTGTTATGATTTGATTTTGGTAGAGTGTTATCGGGAAGTGCAAATTTTATTCTGTATAACCGAATTGTGGTGAACTTGTTTGAATTGATAAGTTATATGATCTGTAGCGATGTAATAATGACTCATGTAGTTGGATGAGTTACTTCATGCATATACTTTATGCTATGACATTTATTTTACCATAATGACTCATTTAATGCTTTTTAAGGATGGTCAATATTTCTTTATCCTGTTGTCACTAGGTTGAATGTTGATCGCGTGTGTGTGTGTGTGTGTGTATATATATATATATATATATGTTACTTGTTAGCAGTGGCTGTGTGATATGGATAATAAAATTATGTGTTAGGCTTTGTGAGTTTTATATACTGCAGAAATCATTCAGCAAAGATTAATAGCAAACAAAAACTACTAAAAAAAAAAAAAACCGCTTCCTTCAAAAGTGATTAGTTAATTGTTGACCTTGTCCAACAATTTGGTGGCGATTTGTTGCTTCAGATATTGTTAATGTCTGATGACATGCTCGAAACAATGAAAAATCTGTAATGTTACATCCAAATTGCCAAAATATTCAAATATATCGAATTGAGGTTGGATATGAGGCATGTTTGGTTGCAGTTTTTTGACTGGACTGACTACTCTTCACTTTAATCCGAGTATTTGTGAAGTGATTCAGAATAACCTTTGCAGTCGCAGTAGCAATCTCGTTTTGGTATACTTTGATGTCTGAGTTTTGCTTAATTTTTCCCGTCACATTCATGTTGCGATGAGATAAATCAAATGATAATGAAAAAGAAAAAAAAAAGTCTTTTTGGTGTCGTTTTTGAAAAGTGTTGAGAATTAATTGAATTATTTATTAGCTGCTTACTTACTAGAACATAAATTGCATTGTTCTTGGTTCCGGAAGTTTCAGTATTTACGGTTAGTATATAGCTTCATTACAGTGTGTTTCCTGACTTTGAGTTACATGTCAAATGTAGTGTTGAGTAGATTTCCCGAATGGCCTTCATAATGCTTAAAGGTCGACTAGTTTCATCTGATATTTCAAAGTCTTTCATCTTATCATGTGTTTAACTCATTTTTTTTTTCTCCCACAATGTAAAATTCTACGAAGTGTTTTTTTTTTTCAGGAATAATACTTTTGTACTATAAGGAGTGTTACCAATCTTCCATCCAGTTGAACTGTAACTGTCATCTTGTAATGCCCGCGCGGTAGGTATTTAATTTCATTTCTATGTTTACTTTACATAATATCTGTTTTTTACTTTTATTACATTGTTATTCGCTGACTTCATTCGTTTTATAATGATCCCTAAATGAGCCATGTCCCGCAGAAGTCAACAAAAAAATTTCGAAGCATTAAAAAGTTTGAAAGAACTATATTAATATAACAGACAGATGTTAATATAACAGACAGATTAAACGAGCACGAATCGTGAAGTTAAAGCTGAAATTGAAAGACGAAATTTTAAAATTTCAGGAAAAGTGCGGATGAAATTCCTGCTGAAAAGTCGAGTGAATTGAAGCATCTGCAAGTATTCCATTCTATTTTACAATTTTTTCTTTTTTTTTTTCTTTGCAAATATTCTTATTTTACACAAAATGATGAATGAGGAATCTAGTTTTTTTTTTTGTCAATACTTGTAGTGGAAGTATTTTCTTTTTTTGAGGATAGCTTGACACGATTTTTCACTCCTACCAATCAGAGACGCTCTAGAGTTGCACAGTCATCATTCTCGTTGGAAACTTTTGAACCTGGCGCTTCGTCATCACGGGCTGCATCATACAAGAGCATCGAATCAAAAAAGGTCGAAAATATCAAGATTGAATTTTAATGAGTTTTTATATTTCAGATTCTCCCCCACTATATTTCCACTGATTTCGGATTTCAGGATTCCAACAAAGAGAGAAAGCGAAGTCCGAGACTAGTAAGAAAGTTTACAGCGAAAGACATCAAAAAGAATGTTTCTGAAATTAGCAGAAAGGGAAGCAAAATTGTAAGTTGTGGATGTTATTCTTTTTTAAATTTCTTGTTACAAACAGTCGATTGTTTTTTTACCTGTATGAAAAATGATCACATTTGCATATCATTTCTACTCCATAAACCAAAACATAACTGGAATTTTTTGCATTTTCAGCATCACTTTTCTGCTATTTCCATTGATACGAAACAGAGTGACTTGCAGTCGCCTATTTCTCTGCAACCTTCTATAAGTTCATCTTTAAAATCGGGTAGGTTGTAAGAGTTATTCTGATTTATGCATGTAAAATTGTTTTTAAATTAATAGAAATTTGACTAATCATAATCTATATAAGGATTTTCATTTTATAGGACAATCAACACCATCACCACATCGCCGTACGGATGCACTTTTTGATGCCTTGTCTCCATATTTTAGTGCAGCTTCGGAAAAGAGACGGACTTTTTCCAAAGTACATTTTATTATTTTCCTGCGCTTGGTATCTAATTGTTTCTGTCTTTTTATTTCATTATTAATTGTCAGTTTTTTTCACACATGTTCTAGAAGCAATTCTGTCACTTTTTTTCTAGGAAGTTGAGATGTGAAGTAACGGATATTCGCATTTCAGGGGCAGTATGTTCATCTATCTGGTGGCCGCACAAGAACAAAAAGTGGAGAGAGTAGCAATATTCATGGTTCGTTTTTCATGTATGAAGTTATTGTGTGAGTGAGGTACTACAGAGCAGTTGATAAGTAGTCTGTGATTTCATGATTTTATTAAAATTTTCTATTCAGAAGACGGTGTATTTTCCCCAAGTTGTATACACCAACCGCATACCAGCACAGCTGTAATATCGAGCGAATCACAGGATGAACTTCTTAGTGCTGAACAACGACCGTATGCTTTTATCTATTTATCCGTCTTTCCATTTTTCCGTCTGAACCTGAATGCCGAATGAGCGAATTGCTTTCTTACCTACTTTTATTAGTTGCAAAGTTGCAATTCATTCAGAAAAGCGCAGCAAATATTTAAGAAAATATTTTCAAGGAATACTGTACACCCATCAAGCAAGAAACGCCAATCAACATATGTAAGTGAACCAGCAGCATATCAAAATTCTCCATCATCGATATATATTCGAATAAACGAAAAAGTGGCGGAGCATCGTGCAGTTCAAAATACATCATTTCCGGTAAAACCAAATCCTTTTCTTTGTAGTTTTGGAATTTCGACTTTTTTTTTTCTCTTTTTCATCAGTTTTTCACTTATGATGCCTTTAATGCCAGTTTATTGTCCACATGAATGATGAAGTTAAAAGTTCCAGCGGTTAATTCATAATTGAGAATTTTCCGTTATACACATAAGCATGCAATTTTCACTTCAGTTTTCTGTTATATTTTTGATCCCAATCCTCGCAACGGGTTACACAATTTTTTTTATTTTAAGGGATGGATTTTTATGTTTTAAAGCTTTCCGAAAATTTCCTTGTACTGATTTGAGATTGTGAACGTTTTATGAGAATGGTTCTTAGGTTGGGTGTTCCTTGCGGAGTTCTGGATTACGACATGTATCACTGCAGCCGTCATCCAATTTGAAAAGTTTGGTTCCCAAAGGACTTGCATCACAGCGGAGGCTGCGGACTGCTTCGATCATTCGAAAGGCCAAGTCGCATAAAACACGATTGAAATTACGCCAGTCATTATCTCCTCGTCTAGTAACAAGGTTTTTTTTCTGAAATATTCAGAATGTAAGTTTTAGTTGATTTATGTTTCTGACTTTATTTTTCATTTTCATTGTTAATTTACATCGAACCAAAGTGTGCAGTTATTTAACTGGAGAACTTCCTAGATAAGTTTAGCCTTTTAAAAGCATTTTATTTCTTGATTTCGTGAATGATTATTTCGTGTTTTTTTGATTGGTCGATTCTCTATAAGTTTCTGCTTCTATGATCATTTTGCTTTTGTTCAAAATATTATATCATGGTGTTTATCACTTTCTTGTTTTGCATTCTTGTTTAGGAAACGTGTGGTATCATTTCGTCAGCCTCATTTGGACGAATTAAACATGACAGGAAGAACGATTTCGTTGGCAGAACCGGTGACTATAACTAATGAAGATCGAGAATTATACAATGCTGCTCGTAATTTATCTGGATTGGTGTCTTTTAATTTTTCTACATAAAACTAGTTGATCACTCTCATGTTTTGAAAATACCGTTTTTTATGATTTTTTTTTTTTTTTTAAGAAAAATTTTGAAAGAAAACTTGAGGGGATATTTTTGACAAATCCAATGGTTTTCTAATTGGTGTTTTCGTTGTGAGATAAACTTTCTGTTCTGAATTTCCAGGACATTGACACTACCCTCGGTACGTGTATCTCAGGAGAGCAGAAATTTTTCAATGATGCGACTGAGTGCTCACGAAATCCAAAATCAATTCGGATTGGCAATTTTGAAATCGAAACATGGTATTCTGCACCATATCCAGCGGAATATGCACAGCTCTCAATTTTATATTTGTGTGAATATTGTATGAAATACATGAAAAGTTTGGAAATGAGACAGAGGCATTCGGTATGTTGCTGCGTTGTTTTATTAATGCAAATCTAATCTGGCAAGAAATCAAGGTTGCCTTACAGTCGCGGTTTATTTTTTATTGTAAAAAGAGTTTCAAAGAATTTTAGTGCCTTTGCCGGACTTTTAAATGTTCTTATTTAATTTTTCCAGGAACGATGTCAACTTCGACACCCCCCGGGCAATGAAATATACCGGAAGGATAGTGTTTCGGTATTTGAGGTATAGAATTTCGTAGTAGTAGTATGTCAAGCAGAAGAATTTGTAAAACTGATTATACCAAACTCAAAAATTTCTATAAATTTTGTTGCGACTTTTTCAGGTAGATGGTTATTGTTCAAGAATTTACTGTCAAAATATTTGCCTCCTAGCGAAATTATTTTTGGATCACAAAACGTTATACTATGATGTGGAGCCGTTTTTATTTTATGTAGTTACGAAAAATGATAATAGTGGATGTCATTTTGTTGGGTACTTTTCTAAAGTAAGCTTTTCTTCAGTTTTCGGCATATTCAGCATTTATACGCTTTTAAACATCATCATGCCATGTTTTTTTTTTTTTTTTTTTTTCTTTTTTTTTGGCTTTCAGGAAAAATACAGTGCTCAAAAATATAATCTGTCGTGCATCATGACATTACCTTCCTATCAGAGACAAGGATTTGGAAGGTTTTTGATTGATTTTAGTAAGTTTTTATCAAGTCAGAATAGGCTGGTAAAAGTGTAAAGTATCAACTAGCTTAGTGAAATTTGCAAGGATCTTGAACTCTTTCCATGTTAATTTTTGCCAATCCCGAAAATCTCATTTTTCGTAACTTACAAGTTAAAATTCATTAATCTTTTTCAGTTTGATACTTTGATAAATATACCATTCTGTTTTGTAAACCATAACGATACCTGTTGGATTGTAGGCTTTTTATTAAGTCGGAAGGAAGGCATGACTGGAACACCGGAAAGACCTTTGTCAGATCTGGGTCGTTTGTCCTACAGAAGCTATTGGCAGTCAGCTATTTGTGAATATCTTTATAAAACTGTTGCACCCGACAAAACAAAACGACTGACTTTGAGAGGTATATTTTTCTGCTTAAATTTTTGATGGTGGTTGTCTTGCAGATCTCAAATTACTTAGTTGAAAATGCGTTTAAGGTATTGCACGTGGGACGGGTATTTCGGTTTACGATGTTATGGAAACATTGCAGTCATTGAATCTACTTCAGCGAATCAATTCTCAGTAAGTCCTTTTTAACTGTGACGTTCCAAAACTGTAGACAGAAGCTGATGCAAATAACCTACAGATTGTACTGTATTTTCCGGATTATTATTATATTTGTTAAGTAGTACTTACTTTGGAATATATTGGCTGTGTTTCTGTTATAGTTTAAAATGTGCACAGAAACAGGTTCTGACGTATTCTGCTAATATGCTACCTGGTAGAACAGCATTTCAGGATGATAATTACATTGAATATGACAATGTTAAAGAATCACTGGACAAAGGCTAAGAATGATATGAAGCGTATTTGGTTGGATGAAACGAAGTTATCAGTGAGTTAGACGTAAATATCACAAAAATTAGAGCAGTTTCGGTTCTGAATAATTTGACGAAAAATTTAAGAGTTTACATGCGTTTACAGTTTACATTTAATAAATAATTTGAGATGAAAAAAAGATTTTTAAGTAATTTCTGCAAAGATGATTTTGCTACCAAACATGAATTTCATTTATTTATTTATTCACTTCTGCACTCAAAGATGACATGAGAAGTGTTCAACAGTCTGAGGACAGGTGTTTTAGTTTGAATTTACCTAACATTCATTTTAGTGGTTACCAACTGCACATTCGCCTTCAAAGGAATATGGTGAACGGTCGTCCTATGCGTTACGTTCCCCTTTTTCTAGTCCTTTCCAACAAACTACAGTACGGCGTGATCGTGGAAATTTGATGCAGAACGGAGGTGTTGGTAATGATATGCAGAAATCCAAAACAAACCGTGGTTTTTTTCGAGAAAAAAGCAAAAATGGTAAAACAATGCTGAAAAAGCAACGGTCTGATGATAATACATCAGATGAAGACAAAAAGACAGTAATGAGTCTGAAAACTACATGTCGGGGTACGTCTGTATGTTCTTTTCCATGTGTTATTAACATTAATGAGAGTACTCAATCATTCACAAGCTTTTTTGGTTGCAGATGGAAAGCAAAATGGGCGAATTTGGAGAAAAACAAGCGGCGATGATTCTGATGATGATGATGTGAAATTGCAAAAAGAAGCAAGAAAGAATATGCGTTTAGGTAGGATAAATGCTATACTTCATTCAATTTTTTTTCTTCTCAGTTTATCTTGTTGCAAGTTTTCAAACTCTGAAAAATTATCAGAAGTATGTATATTGTGATGAAATTTCAGCGGAGATGAGTCAAAAAAAAATATCAAAACGAAGTACTACTAATCGTCGTTTTCGAAAAAGTGGGACGAAGAAAGCTGTAGCAATTAAACCTTATACTTATCCATCATCATCCAATAGCGATTCATCAGGTAAATTCAGTAATGTGGTTATTTAAGTCAGAAATATGCTAGTCAGTTCTGCTGGACGACGAAGTAGCGCTGAACACTCTGTATGTAGAAATTTCATTCCAGATCTAAGCGATATTAGTTCAGATGCTGAGAAAAATGGAAACACTTATAAGCCTTCTCACAGGAAACATGTGTCACACTCTCATTTTAGACGACGAGAACAGGTGTGAATGAATTTGATTTTTTATAATGAATTTTCGCTACTTGAAATAAAAGTAAGAGAGGGCAAGGAAGAAAATTCTATTTCTAAAAGCAGAGGTAAAAGTGATGCTTGTCATTATGCCTTGCGATAATATTGATTCAATTTAGAGAAGTATGGCCAATGTAGAATCAATCGAACTAAATAACGTTAATGATCAAGATATTATTCCAGTTCATAAGGATGTGCCCGTCAAAACCATGAATTCGTATGTTTATTTAGTTTTTAAAATTTCTTTAATATTTTAAAGAAGTCGATTTTTTTTCTTTTGTCATGTTTGCTCATTTATAGAAACTGCCATAAATTGCACCTTTGTCACATAAGGTCTAGTGCTGATTCAAGTGGTTCTGAGGGATCATCTGATGATTCGGTTTTAATTTTGAAGCGACGCAGAATCAGTAATAGTTCAAAAACGTTGTTTTCAAGGTATGTCATATTTTGTTCATTGCATTTCAATTAGTTATAAATCTGTAAGGAGTTTCTATTTAGTGTATGAAGTTTATTCTAATGGTAAAATTTTTTCATTTGAAAGTCTCGTTTCAGCTGCACAAACTCTCCGGAACCATTGGGTGATGGGCATGTAACTCCTGAATTGAGGGTGAGTCAAGAACCAGGAAGCGAAATTCCAAATTGCAGCAAACTATTTGCAGCTGACCTTCAACAATCAAATAAAAACGAAAAAAGGTGGAGTTGCTTTGTTCGACTTTTGTTTTTTGGATTGTACAGACAGTCGGTAATTTCGAAGATATTTTTATTGTCCTTAATAACTCTATTTATAAGTTCTACTTTAAGTTTGGAGTTAACTGTTGATAATGAGGATGAACTACCGCCGACATTGGAAGCAGATGGTGTGGACGGCAGAGTAAGAACTTCACTTTCTTGTTTTAACCATTAGCTTTTTATTTGTGTGACGTGTTATATTTTTTTTAAAAAAGAGATGATTTGGAATTTTCTTTAGTAATTTGATGGAAATGGCTATTGTGAGCATCATACTTGCAGGATAAGTTGGTAAAGGAATGGGACAATTTGGATAAATCATGCTGTTCCGGAAGCACTTTTGCAAACGGGATGCCGCTTCTTCGTATAAATATTGCTGGGAATGACAGTGCCTATGAGGGGGAGGATGAAGACGTACCGCCGAGGTTGTCGCCGAATTTTGCTCCGGTATGTTTTCCGAGAAAATGCGTTATACACAAATTTCTGATTAACATCTGTTAGCACTGTTAGTCATGCTTTTTTTCATCTTTTGTTTTATTTTATAATTTAATGGATTTTTCAATTTCCTGTTGAGAAAATCATGTATCTTGTAGGTTGAAAATAGTGACACGAATAGTCCAAGAGAACTCGAGCCAATACCATCTCTGTGTAAAACACTGCCCATCAAATCTGCTCCCGACTTGCTAGCTGTTTCATCACCTTCGAAACCTCATGACACGTCAAATAATTCAGCATCACGAATTACATCTATTACAAACACAATTTGCGAAATGGTTCGTTACGTTTAATTTTTTTCAAGGTCAAATCTTAGAATACGTAGAGTATTGGATGCTTTTCAAAAAAAAAAAAAAAACTTCAAGCAGTTGGCTTCTGGTTAAGTTTTGATTTTTCAGGTTAATTTAGGTGGCGATGCTGGAAGTGAAGGCGAAAGTGAGGCAGAGCAAAAGGAACTAAGTCATTCAAACCACAGAAAAAATGGAAAATCGGAGGCTTTACCACTTAGGCTTGAGACATCTGAGTTGGATAGGCCTCCGAAAGCTCCAGCAATGCTTTCATTGCCAAATGAGGAACATGAGATGGGCCATATGGTTTGTAGTTTAAGCTTAGTCTCCATTTTAACATTATGAAATCTGAAATTATTTCTAAAGTTTCAGGACGAGAAAGGTGAAGTCACATCGATCGGAAAAGATAGTTCCGTGGAAACAGTTGAACATACAATGTTCCAAAAGTACGTTTCATGCTAGAGTTTAAGATTTAGGATGAAGAGAAAGGAATGAAATTTTACTTCTTAATTAACTTTGTCAAGGTTTCTACACGAATGATCTCGATAATAATCATATTTTAACAATAACAGCTGTCGTCAGCCAAATTCAATCCTTAATCAGTCTCCGATTTTACCACCAAGCTCGACCCATTCAGATCTCTCTTCTCAGAGCTTCGTATCACCTTCCTGTTCTTTGCAAAAGGTATTTCCTTAATTTAACTGTTATTTAATAATTATTTTTCATGTATCACCTAAATCTTATCTTTTCATTATCACTTAATTGTTGGGTTTTAGCGCAATACATCTAATGGCTCTTGTCGTACTCCTCTTTCACAAGTTGAGGCAAGTCCTGGAGAAGTTTTCATTGGTTCCACCGATAGAAATAGCGTTCGTTCGAACCCATCAACTCCACATCATCTGTCAACTCAAAGCCATCCAGGTGTTTTGGACTTTATCGTCTAATTCTATTTCATTATTTGCTGCTTGATATGATCCTACCACAAACTTTCGCGCAGTCAAAATTTGCGATTCCATCAGATTTTGGATGAATTAGCAAGGCGCATTATTTCCAGGTTCGGAAATGATGTTTTGTGCTACAACGACAGGCGACATGTGTCTGACTATGATGGCTGAAACACCGGTGATGACAAATAACACAAAAACTATGGTGAAACCATCAACACCAACAGTACTTCCATCAACAGCAACTCAGCATCATTCACATCGACGCAGTTCTAAGAAGGATCAGGTAAATTCTTTTGGCAGCCACAATGACAACCTTACATTTGTAGTCTAAAATAAGAGTAATAGTTTAATGAATATGACAAAACGTACTGTCGATGTCAATACTACCTGAGGTCTTATGAATGATGTCTTATATACAGGACATGGTAATAGTGTAAAAGAGGCTTTACTATGGTACCCATTTAGTCACATAGAATCCATTTTTTTAAATAGGCTAAAGGCGATTGGGAAGCAGTACAGTTTAAGGAGAACTTTGAGAAATGATTTTTTTGTTGTTGTTCTTTAAGTTATGGTATGTTTGTTTGTTAGTGTTTAACTGGTAGAATAATGGATAAGGGTATATGAGGAGCAGATGAGAAGGAAAAATTTCTTTTGTGGAAACCACTAATTGCATAGCGTATTTTGAGAATTTTCTATGCAGTATTATTTCTGTTTTGTAGAGCCGTTCATCGAAAAATGCTTCAAACACTCAAAGGACACAGATGTTTATACCTCCAACACCACTTTCGCCATATGTAATTGCAGCACCAAGCGCAGGACAATCATTTATGGGTCCTTCACAGGTTACACATCCCCAAACAGGTATTTCCTTTCAGTATATTTCACATCGGTTTAATTATCTTTTAACGTGCCTTTAAATTTACACGTAAAAATTTCTTAGTCCAAATAATACTGATGCAATTCGAGACTGGCAATATTTGGTCATCTTGAATCTGAGTCATTACCGACTTAATGTCAACTTCTGGTGTTTTTGGGGATGTTTTTTGTTCAATTCTGTACTTATTACCCATCAATTTATTAAAATCTGTAGCAGTGACATTCTTTACGTTTTTGTCAATAAGACATCATTTTGCAGGATCTTATTATACGGGCAGTTATGCAAATTCACGACACTCCGCTTACTTTGATCCACAGTTTCACCCAAGTGCTTTGTCAACAGCAGCTGCTTCAGCAACTTATCCAGCATCGAGTGTAAGCTATCCATCCCATTTAGGTGGCATAGGTAAAACATATCCTATGGGAGCTACTGTTCAAAGTGGCTTTTCGTATTCGTATCCTCGTGGTATGCATCAGGTAATTTTTTCTTTGTTTTAAGTTTTTTTTTTTTTTCAAATTTGGCTAAAGATTTCATAGTATTTATTGAGTAGGCCTTTCCAGTGTTTCTTTTGGAAAAATTGCTCGGATTTTCAAGGTATAAGTAAAAGTGAGGAAAAGTAAATTCGTGTGTTTCATAACTATTTTTAGGCTGGTGCTAATATGGCGCTATCAAGTGGCAGTGGAACCATTGGACCAGTAACTCCACAGCAAATGATTGGTGTACAGTGTTCGGAGTTGCAAAACACTAGTCAGGCTAACACAGCAGCTTCGTGGAGGTTATTTAATATTATTACTATTATTATTTATTATTTTTAATCATTATAATTATTGTTATTTATTTACTTATTTTTCGTCTTTTGGGAATTCACAAGGCATTAAACTGTTAATGTTAGAAAACCAGTAACTTCGTTAATAATAATTAGTTGCAGGGGAGATTTTGACTTACCTGTTATTAATTTGTAATTTTTCTTTCCATTCAGATATCCTGCTCCGCCCGCCGCATTTTCGGGTCATTTCATGGATGCATTTGGTGGTGGTATGCCATCAGCAGCTACTGGTAGTCAGTTTGCATTACCAAATCAGCTTTATTATCAACCTGGTTATCATCCGTATTTGATGCCAATGATGCGGAATGATTAATCTTTATTCCTGGGTTACATAAGGTCCAAGCAGCTTATCTTTCTTCTTAAAATGCATCTCTTAGAAAAAATTTTTCTGTTTTTATGAATTGTGGGTATTGTATTTACATACTTAATTTATATCCAGTGAACAAGTGTTTATTATTTGTCATTTGTTTTCATGATCACTCAAAATATATCTTGCCTGATATACGTATATATAACAATTTCTGCATGAATTTTCCTTTGTAGTAAGTATGTACATCTTCCGTTTTATTATGGATGAGGGATTCATTTCCGGCAATAAAATTCAATGATTTTGATTTTTCTTTACAGTAGAAAACAAACTAGGAAATAAATCTCTTCTCCATATTTGACGATGACTGACATCTCTTCGTTGCTATTATTATTGTTTGTTCGGGTAACCTGGCTTTAATGTGGCTTTTCTTTCTGTCCTAAAACAACAAGAAATAAAAAACCCATTCTGACAGGTTTGCTTTGTATCACCTTCTGATCTCGTATTTTCATTTCATTTCATCCAGACACTGATCTTCAAATTTAATGGAAAGGAAATTAATAATGCACTTTTATATCACCCCATGTAGTTGGAGTTCGGAATTAAATTTGAACAATAGGGGTGTTGGCTATGGACCTTAGCACTTTATTTACTTTATAAAAAAGTATACGGGCACTTTCTTGCTTTCTCTCCCTCTCTGATCTTTATGTTAAAAGCTGTATTTTTGCTATTGTCTTTTTTTGCTTTTTGCAAGAAAACTGAAACTCGTTTTTCAATTCATTTTCTCCTGTTAAGTGGTTTTTCCTTTTCAAATAATATTTTTGGTGTTTCAAATAACAATGTCTCTTTTCGTGACTGTTTTTTCAAGAAACTTTTTCCAAATTACAGCATTAGAAGACCTATTTTTTCTATTTTTGATTTCTAGTTTTCTCCATGGATTTGAAATTTTATAAATAGGAATACATTACAAATGGAACAATTTTTTTTGATAGAAGCTCTATGAATCCTAGTGTAAAAGAATAATGTAAAAAAAGTATTTTACAGAATTCATGAAGCACTTTATCTCTGTGTCAGATCTTTCTATTAATCTCTCCGATCTTTGTGTTAAACATATTCGGTCATTTGTTATCCGTTTTCCTTCACTTATGAAAATTTTCTAAAGAAAAATTGTTATTTACATCCCTAATTCTTTTTTTATAATTAATTTTCCTTTTTTACTAAATCTCTTCACAATTTATTTTTAGAATTTAACCTTTTTAGTGCTTTTCTGCTTTTTTTTTTTTTTTTTTTGACCTCTCAGCTTTGACGTATTTCTCTTAAAATGTTTTTATTTAGTATCGCATCAAACAGTCTATATTTTTATTTCCAGTTTCTATATGGTTTGTATTATGCATGCAAAGATGCATTATAAATATAATAGTGATCATCTATTATTTATAACTTTTCTTTACACTTAAGTTTTCATAATATTCGGAATGAAGCATCATACATACGGGAAGAAATTTTACAAAAAATGGAAAAATTACTGGTATCATTTTGGATATCGTTGACGTTTAAAACTATTAAGACGGATGGGTTGCAATGATTTCCTTAACGGATTTGGATGATAGTTAACGCATCTATTATTAGGTATGCTGAACGAATTAAATTCTCAGCAACGTTAATTTCATAAAAGTGGCGAAAAGTAGATGAAAAAAAAAGGTACACCTGACTTCGGTTCATTATTATCTCGTCGCTGTAACAACCATGATATCATTTATGGTATTGATTTTCACAAATGAATTTTTTTCTTTTTCGTAAGATGTTCTATACTGAAACGTTAGTTACAAGAGGATATGAAAATTGTTAGGGCTACTGAAGCCTATTATTTATATTTCAAAGAAAGGAACTGAATTTTTTGAAAACATTTTTTACTATATATGAAGAGTCGTTACAGTTATTTAATTAATTGTAACATAAATGAATGTACAAACATCATGTGCAGCTTGAATTATTCATTTACCAATTCAGGAAATGCACCTATACTTTAATAGTGCTAGTGGTTTAATTAAATTTGAATCTAAATTGAATCGTTTGTTTCAATTCTAATGCTTCCTTTCTTTTTAAAATATTTTCAAATCTATGATATTTTAAGATAGCTTCTACTCTGGGTAGAAATTTAATTTGATCAAATTCACAACAGCGTGAGAATTCGTACTGAATAATGCTAATTTAAATTTCAATTTCTGCTCTTCTTCCTTGCTAACAGTTTTATCAAATAAGTTTAAATAGATATATGGGAATTGATTATACGGCTCCATTAAACAAACAGAAGATTATGAAATTTGATTAGATAGACTGACAGACGGGTAACATATTTTATCGGTTTTTGTTTTGGTGGTCCACTGCAAATACCATATTTTTAAATCGTTTAATTATTTCACATGTTAATTTTAATGCTTAGATTACTAATAGAAACGAAATATGTTTGTCACAGTTATTCAAATAATTACATAAAATTTTTTATCTAATAATATTTTATGATAATCTATTTGGAATTGTAATTTTATTTGTATTTTCTTCTTCCTCTTCCTTTTTCGCATTTTCTCCTTAACCCTTCTATTTCATTTGAATATGTTACCAAACAATAAAACTTTTAAATTTTCATCATTAATTTCGAAAGATTTATCCGATATAATATCAAATAAATCCTTTCGAAATACATATCAAATATATTATTTCATAAATCTAGCATGAATAAATTTCCTTCTTTGAAAATTTCAAAATCAATTTAAATTAAATTCGAACAAACTTTGTCCAAATTTATACGATATGTAACAGTGTTCCAATTTGATGAATGTTTTTACAGTTCTAATGATGATTCTAATGATGTTTGTTAGTTAAGATTTTGTAAAAATTGGTAGAAATTTATTTAAAATGATTTACAACCAAGAAAATAAAAAAAGGTACGATTGTTCAATAATGAATTCATCTGAAACGTAATCATTTATCATATGAAACTTCAACATCTCCTTCTCTTTGTCTCTCTTCTTCAAGGTAATAACATTATGAATAATGTGAAGTATTATCTAGCGCAAATCTTTATGATATAGCAGCCTACAAATTTTATTTGTAGGATTTTTAAGGAATGTGATCATTTCATCATTTTTTCATGTTATCATAACAATATCAAAAAAATAAAAAAAAACAAAAAAAAAAAAAAAAAAAAAAAACATCTAATTATGATGTATATTGGAAATATGAAGTCAACAAATAATTTCTCAAATTACTAAAATAGTTAATCTTTTTAATGAAATTAAAATTTTCGCACAAAAATTAAATTTGATAAAAAGTAATAAATAATTTTCTTCAATTTTTTGAACTTGATGGAAAATAAAAAATCCAAATAGTTGATAGTAGATTCACTCACTGTGGATGAATGATAATAAGTATTACTTGCTAGTTTAGATGTTTACTGCAATAAGCAAATTAAATAAATGAGAAAAATAAAGAGAAAGGAAGAACGACGGAAAGAGAAAGAAGGGAGGTAAATTTTGAAATATTACATCTTTTTTTACTTTCCAAATTTAACATTTCGTTTAAAAAATTTTGAAGCAAACAAATTTTTGCCTTTTTAAAATGTCGCTTTTATATTTATTTATATAACTCGAAATTTCGAAATTTCATTCAATTTTATATTTGTCAAGAAAGGAAAAGAAGGAACTCTCCAAATGAAAAGGAAAGTTAGGGCATAACGTCTTTTCCGGTAAATTAAATTGCTAATGGGGGGAAGATCGAAGACTAACTAATGATTAATCAGGTTCCCGAAATTTCATAAGTTATTGATTAAACTTTCTTTCAATTTTTAGCTAAATTGAGCAACCATTATCATTTTTATAACGAGCATTGTATAATGATATATTTCTATAAAGTTTTTTTTTTTTTTTTTGATTATTCAATTACATTTAGCTTAGCAATTTTGCTTATATTTAATTTATTTCATTTCCACATTAATTTTGATTTTCATTCATTTTTTTCTTGAGTAAAATTTTGCTAATCCATTACAAATGTTGTAAATAATATATATATATATATATATATATATATATATATATATATATATATATATATATATATATATATATATATATATATATATAAGTTGTTTTTTTTACAGATTTTATGGTGAACTTTTTTTTTAATTTGTATTTTTAAAATAATTTGGAAATTTCTACTCATTAACTTCTAACTAAAATTGATTGAAATTGAGATTTGGATTACTATTATCAGAAACAACTTTTGTGCTAATTCCAACAATGTAAAATGTCGTTGAAGGAATTCTTCTATTCAAATGATTAAATTGATCAAAAAGTCATTTCAAGATTGATTCATTTGCTTCGATTAGCATTCATTTTATTTCTAAAATGTCGAAAATTTTTGTTAATTCGAATTATTTAAAATATAATAAATCGTTTCAAATTACTGTGAATTGTAACAGATTGTACATTTCCATTTTTGTATCATTCAATTTATGAATTAACTATACCATACTAATCTATTTTCATTTCGATTTATGGAAAAACCCTTATTTTATTTTCATTATTCATTTATTAATTTATCTAAATTTCCCAATTATTTTATTATCGACAGCTTCTTTCAAATTAAGTTGTCGCGATTAATGAAATGCATTTTGCTTAGAAAATATTAGTGTATTAAAAGCACTTCAATTGCATCTTTACTTTTATCTATATTTTTGAAGAATGATGTCGCTTATTTATTTGTTGTTTTTGTAAATTTTCAAAACTTTTTCTTATTTTTATTTTCAGTTTTCCATTCAATAAAGTAAACAATGCAATGTACAGGAAATTTTTCAAGATGTCCGGAAGGTGTAATTCTCGGTTGTGGTAATCCACTCTTAGATATGCGAGTTGAAGTCAGCCTAGATTTTTTAAAAAAGTGGAATTTGGAAGAAGATGATGCAATAATAGCAGATGACGAACGTATGCCTATGTAGGCTGTTCAATTTTCATTAAATTAGTAACCTTTTCATAATTAACAATTTAACAAAATACTAATCATCACTTATGTAATTTAATGCATAATATTTTAAAGTTGATTAGTGAGATTATCAATGAAGAAGTAAATTTATCATTCTTTTCTTAATTGAATTTTTCAACTTCAATTACAGCTGAAATAATTTGATATTTAAAGAATGATTCAAAATTTTGACAACTTTTTTTTTATTTCAAAAATTTCTATTCAAATCTTCCATTGAAAATTTCAAATGTTAAGGTTTCAAGAGTTGTTGGACAACTATGATATAACTTATACACCAGGTGGTGCAACGCAAAATTCACTTCGCGTTTGTCAAGTAAAACAAAATTTTGTTTGTTTTTGATTTTTTAAAGTCAGCTTTAAAGCAAATAAAAAACGAAAAAAAAAAAAAGAAATCCTTAAAGGTGAACAATCTCTTGCAATTTGAAAAGTTTGCAGTGGATATTAAATGAGCCGAATCGTTCAGTATTTTTTGGCTGCATAGGTGATGATCACTATGGTGATATCTTAAAGCAAAAGACCCAAGAAATAGGCCTTAGGGTATATTATCAAGTGAAAGAAAAGCAAAAAACAGGAACATGTGCTGCTCTCATTACTAATCAACATAGGCTAGTTGCATAATGTTTCTTTCTAATTAAATTAAATTTTTAAAATGAAAAAATTTTATGGCAACACACATCTTTTTTAAAAGAATTTTATTACACTTTTATGTTATTTAAATTCAAAATATGATTGTAATAATTTCTTTTAATATGATCATTTATAAGAGATTGAAATCAATGATTTGTTTCCTTCCTGAATTTTTCGCCCAGTTATTAATTTCTGCTTCACTTATAAATAAATGTATTTTTTTTCTTCATTCTAGATCCCTTTGTGCACATCTTGCAGCAGCAAATTTATTCACGATAGATCATTTGGAAAAACTAGAAAGTCGTGTTTTAATTGAAACGGCTCAATATTTTTATATATCGGTTAATTTATCAACAATTTTTAATGTTATCAAGAAATTCCAAAAAAAAAAAAAAAAACCATTTTTGTCTTAAGCACAATCATAGATCATCTCTGTCTTCCTCACTTTTTTCTATAATTTTATTGTATAAACATATGCTAAAATTATTTCAAATAATATTAAAATTTCAGGGATTTTTCTTAACAGTTTGTCCTGCAGCTGTTATGTTCATTGCCCAGCATGCAAGCAAACATAATAAGGTTTTTTTTTTTTCTTTCTCTCTCTCTATGTCTCTCCCTCTCCTCTCCTTTCTTTCCTTTCCTATCCTAAAATTTTGTACATTAATATAACAATTAAAAAGACGAATTAGTCGTTTTAAAAATCATTTAAGGAAGAAAAAAAATTACCAAGTAACAAGTAACATTCATAAATCATATTACTCTTCAATATATTTCATTTATTTTACTTAGTCTATGACATACATAGAATTTTCTTCAAAAGAACGGGAATACAGAACTTCAAAAATTCGAATTCACTTTATTAGTTGTAAAAACTGTAATTTTTTTTAAAAAAAAACAGGTATTTGCAACAAATTTAGCAGCACCATTTGTTCTAAAATATTTCCGAAATGAATTTTTGGAATTGTTACCATATGTTGACATTTTATTTGGCAATGAAAGAGAAGGTAAAGCATTCGCAGATGCAATCAATTACAATACGCATGAATTGCAACAAATATGCGTTAAAATTGCAGCATTTTCAAAGGTTCACAAGATTTTATAAACTAAATATCTAAAAAAAAATATATAGAACCTTTGTTTGTCTTTTTTTTTTTTTGTTAATTTATTTTAAAGAAGACAAGAAAAAAAAGAACGATAAACAAATCTACAATTATTTATTATATATTATAACCATTAATATTATTATGCTTAAGATTAATGAAAAGCGTCAAAGGATAGTGATTCTAACGCAAGGATCTGGTCCAACAATCGTTTATCAAAATGGTAATAATGATGCTGTGAAATACCCAGTAAAAAAATTGAAGCATGAAGAAATTGTTGATACAAATGGAGCTGGTGATGCATTTGTTGGAGGTAATATCTGTTTTTATTAAATTATCATACTTTATTCATTTTTTTTTCCTTCTTTTTATTTATCCAAATAATGATGGATACTCTTCTTTTATTTACAATTTCCAAAGTAGCTGTGAAGTTCATTTAAATTAAAATAAAAAAAATTCCAATTCCTTTTCCCTTTTGATAACGATCAAAGTCTAACTTAAAAAGTTTTTTTTTTTTCCCAGGATTCTTATCACAATACATTCAACAGAAATCAATAGCGGATTCAGTTAAATGCGGACACTATGCTGCAGCAGTAATAATACAACAAGAAGGCTGTACACTTCCACCAATTTGCTTATATCATTAAAATTTCGTTTGATTTTAAGACATGAAACCATTACATTTACCGACTGTTTTTAATATTTTTCTATTAGGAAATTTTCAACATAACATCCCAACTTAACTCACTTTGACTCACTATCAGATCTAGGAATGCCTGTTTCCTAATCCATATGATATACAGAAAATAGAGAGATAGCAAAAACGATTAAAGCAGATGTTTATGTTATAGGACCAAATAGACTTTCAAAAATTTCTTCTTTTGAAAACTTTGAATAAAAATTACTGATAAATTTATTTCATACTCTGCTGTGCTAATATAACGCACAAAGGCACAGGAAATGCAATTAATTCACAACTCAGAAATTCGAAAGCATGCTGTACACCAAAAATACATATACATCCAAATATGTACACACATACAAATGTGCACAAATGTGCCAAAGGAGTGAAATTCACTGCAAAGTGGGATATAAAAAGGAGCCCCGAACAACTGACAAAATTATTCAAGATTTACAAAAGATAAATACGGACAATGGGTGTAACATATGAAGTGACTAGATAATCATACAATATTTTCATTTTAAAGCCGTATAGAAAATCGGCATTTCTATGATATACCCTACCAAGAAACAACAAAAATTTACAATTAAATCCTCAATTTTGCTTCTTATATAAAATTGTGGTGCTGAAAATGGTAGAACCTACTATTTACCGCTTTTCATATGAAAATATGATTGCAGAACAGCTGTTTCTTAAAAACTTATAACCTCATTGCACACTAGTTGCAATGGTTAGTTATGAAGTTATTATGTACACAGTTTCATCGGACTTATCAGATCTCATGGCTGATACACAAGAGACAAGTAAAATCAAACATGTATATAAATAGTTGGAAACCAATTATTCCACTTAAAAGTAACTGATACACCAAAGAACACATTACAACTAAAAATGCAGACACCGTAGGATATCAAAAAATCACTTTTAAACTTTTCATCAATCTGCTCCGATGTAAACCGGGGGAGGTGACTGTATACCATCGATCGCAACACCTAACTGCTTTCCAACTTTCCACCATTATAAACAAGATATTAACAATTGCATCACAGGTAAATTCAGATGAATGATTTAATTACATCAATACTTTTGGCAATCTGGCACAGACCTAGATATACAGCAAAAAGACGAGTGAGCAATTATAATAGTGTTTCTCGAACATGTTAGAGATTAAGATCAATTTAAATTTCAGAATTTGTGACGGATAGAGATGAAAGCATAGGCACTTATTTTAATGAAACAGTGGCAGTAAAGCAAAATGAAGAAATCAGTAACTAGGCCCGCAGTGTGTTTCGTTGAACAGGAATAAGATCAGCATAGTCCGGCAAATTAGTGTCCACTTGTCCTACGGCCCAACGTAATATCTCATTTCCTTTACTTGTTATTGGCGAAATCTGCAAAACGTCATATTCAATTCATATCTTAATAATTATGCAAAAAAATGTAAAAACTCAAAAAATTTTCCTTACATAGAGTCAATTTAAAAAACCAATCGCATGCAAATGAAGTCAAGGAAAAGTAATCAACAGACAGAAATTAAGAATGAGTGACAAAAAAATACTCCTGGGACAAATTGTTTATTTAGGATACATGAAATCAATCAGAATCCATAGGAAGTTTAATTTACAAAAAGTTCAAAATAAACTACTTCGTGAAATGCAACAAGCTCATGGAGGCGTTGATGCACTACTTGATTAATTCCCAAAAATTGATATCCCTGTGGTATTTTTTCGATCATGAAATGCTTTATATTACCATCTCCAACCATATACGATAGAGTGTAACCCCAAATACGCTCCGAAACGCGAACAAGGAATGAACCAGAAGGTTTTCCCTGTAGTAGTTCATCAGCTGCGTTTCGTGTAATGATTCCTATAACGAAAATTCTTTATAAAGGCATCAAGTTGTAAACTAAATATGATTATCCTTAAAAAGATTGAAAGGAGCCAGAATTGATGACCTGAAGGCACTGGGAATAATTTCATTCCTTAGATAAGAACGAAGACATAATTAACCATGGAACCAAACAGCTGGTCGATGTGTCAATGGGTCTAAACCGGTTCCATGTCGCAGCTCCTCAGATTTGAACCAATCAATAATTGCTTCACGAGATTTTGGCTTCGGAGGACGGGGTAAATTCTTCCTGGAAGCATCATTAATTATATTTATAATAAATAAGATGACATGAAAGGATAGCTAACTGATTAGCATGATTTGTTCTTTTTAACTGAGAAGAATCGATCTAAACATTTTACTGCGTAACAGTGGAACAGTGTAAACAGGAAAAAATAAGAGCAAATTAAAATAAAAGAAAACCAATAAAATGTTAAATTGCCATTCAATCACAACGAATCCAGAAATAAAGCGCCTAATGTGCTGGACTTTACGAGAGCATTGTGACAACAGAGGTTAAAATTGGACGGTTATTTCTTTACTGTTACTATTTTTCAACAAAAAAAGAAAATGAAGCCATTACTTACAGAATCTCCTGTACAGATGCAGTATTTTTCACATCCTTGAGAACTGTTAAAAACGGAGCTGATGTACGTAAAGTTTGCTGACGATGTTGTTCACGAGCCCGTTGCGCAATATGTCGAATTTCAGCTTCTGCTTCACGTGCTCTTCTTTCTGAAAGAAAGAACATTGCCATCCGTAACAATATGCAGTGGGAAATAATCCAAGAAGTTCATGAATATTTCGAGAAAGACGATATACTTTATCTAAAAGTAACTAAACCGACCTTGTTCTTCCCAAGCTTGTTCAACACGTCTTGCCTCTTGTTCTGCTTCTCTGTCAAATTGCTGATATTTCTCCTTAATCTTTTCGAAAATTTCTGACTGTCGCTTGGTGATTTCATCATTGATATCTGTAATCAACAATTAATTTAAATTAAAAGTGTTAAATTTCAGCAATAAAGTGTAATGGAAAATGAAAATACCCGGTAAATCATGTCTTGAACTAAGATCAGGTCGGAATTTCACCACGTGACCAGAGTTTGTTTTCTGAGCTGGAGTGAACTGTTTAACTGAATGACTAAGTCCTACTAGTGGAGCAGGTTTTGCAGCATTTGCTATTGCGCCGAATGTCTGAAATTAGTCATTTTAAACAAATTGGGAATAAATTCAACATTCCATATGAATCACTATAACTGCCAGCATGTCAACATTTCCCAATCTACGATGGATCCCTGAACTAGAAGGCAAGCAACATTCACTGTCTCACTTCCAGAAGACAGATACACACTACTCGAGCTACTGGAAAAGTTTACTCGAAATGATGTTAGAGTAGAAGTATCTGGCAAAACTTAATTCATCTAAACCATTGCTCTAAAAAAACTTTCAGGTTTTCGAAAAAATAAAAACACAGTTTGCTGCAATTTCTCATTAGAACTAAGTGCACATAAATGTTTAAAAAAGGAATTACTAACTTTCACAGTGTCAGTTGACAAATAAGTGCCACATGCTTTCTCTTTTGTTTTCTGCTTAATATCAATGTCGATCGAAAGTTTATCTTTTTTATTACTGTTGTTATTCAAAGGAAAATTTTCAGTAGATTTCTTTAGAATCCCTTTGTAAGGTGATTCTGAAGCAGGAGCAATATGCGAAGGTTCACTACCATTGTATGATAGGCCAAACAGTGAGTCTGCATCATCATATACAGATTCCTGCAACTGTAGTTTTCCGATTCAGAAACCAAAATTTCATGAGATGAAATTGTAAGTTACTGGATCTCACAGCTACTGTAGAAGTTGTAGGAATGTAGAATAGCAAAACAGTTCAGCAAAGCTAGCTTTCTGGAATACCAAAATTCCTCTAGATCCAAATAAGTATTAATCTAAAAAAAAAAATACACTGTAATACATACCTGTACTTTGTTACGTGCGGATGATCCAGATCCACTATTCCACGGTTTGATACGGCTCAACTGCTGTTTCAATGTGTCCTCATTTTCATGTGGCCCAAATACAGGTCCACTGCCATCATTTAATTCCATTAAACTGAAAAAATTACAGTAATTATCCAGACATATATGTCGGATAAAAACAAAGATTACCAGAATTTTTCCAGCACTTCCGCTTCAACTTGCACTGCTTGGTTTTCCAGCATTTCTTTTTCAGCAAGTTCTCGTGCTTCCTCATAAGCCCGTTTTTCCGTAATTTGTTCAATGGTAAGGTCATCCTTATGTTCACCCATAACCCAAACCCAATCTTTGCCATCTTCTCCCTTTAACCATCTGAAAAAGGATCATTCTAATGAATAGAACTAAAATTTAAAATTCCGTCAATACTCCATCCACCGTCTCAGAAATCGAACTCTGTGCAGAATTCGAACCTAACTCTTCGCGAATTATTTTTTGGTTTGCTACTTTGGGGCTTATCCTCTTGCTCACGCTTGTCCTCAAAAATTTTCCAACGTTTCACTTGTTCCTCCCGCATTTTGATAAACAATATCTGTTTTTGTTCCTCGTCTAGAGCTTCTAAAATTTCTGGATCCACAAACATCTGCAATAAGTGTAGAGGAGATTTCGAAATGTAAAGCGATGATGATCATGAAATTTACTCCAAAATTAGGATTTTCTACCTTTTTCTAAGTCTTCATTCAATCTTTTTCTTGGAGTTTTTCTCCTCAAAGTTTTAAATTCTAAAAAAAGAAGAGGAAAGAAAAGCCTTCTACGATGTAACAGCAATAAAGAGACATACTTGATCTAATATTTGCTGCAGCATACTCATGTTGTCTTAATTATGTTGTTTCACTGCTATCATCAGTAGTAACAAATCAACAAACCAGAAAATCCAATAGCAAAATCCTTAGTACGGGAAAGCACAAACTAATAATCAGCAAGACAACCGGTTATCAAGTACCAAAACCAAACAATGCTATCGATTATGATAAACAAATCATTTCAAATGATTTAAAAGCTGTTATTTAATCCAGCATACGCATATTAGCTTAATTATGTTGCTTCACTCCTATCACTGGCAATAACAAATCAGAAAATTCAGTAGCAGAAGTTCTCAATACAGAACAATACAAACCAGTGATAAGCAACCTTCAACCAGGCACCACAGCTGAACAATGACACCGACTACGCTACCGAAATCATTTAAAATACTTCAAAAACTGTTCTTATTTAACGCAGCCAGTGACATTGGAAGAGGTTGGAATGAGAATATGAGGGATGTTTCCGGATGACATGGTCTTCCTTTGTGGTTTTTAGTTTAAATTAGACGGGTTCTTCGTTTCCGTTAGGAATTCCTGGAGTTTGTGTCACGTCATGTGCACTGTTTACGTGAATTAAGTTTACTTGATATGTAATCTGAAAACTTCATAACTGTATTACATGTCTGATAAATCACTGCTTCCTTTTTGGTTGTTCCATAATTTTTTCAAAGCTACATTCTTCTAAATTTCCAGAACATATCAAATTCTGGTCAATAAAAAGAAAAAAGAAAGAAGGAAAGAACAAAGAAATTATATCAGTGATTAGGTATCACCGTTTACAGAAAAATTAAGCGATTATAAAAGAAGTGATTTGTGGTTAAGGAATTGCGGAAGAGTTTCACATTTGTTTAACAATTAAATTCCTTGTCGGATTTAACATTTTTTGCGTGCACTTTTGAAGCACGAGTTGCCAAATTGATAATTTCGAATTTTTTATTTTGTGTCAGCAGTATTTTTAACTACTTTTAATCTGTGTTTGTTAATTTATATTATTTGTATTCGTTAAGTATATTTATAGAAATTTTCAGGAATTTTTCTATGACTTGTATAAATCTGAGCTTTTTAGGATGAGCTTTTAGCACCTTTTCTATTGTAGTTCTTCTACTACATGTTTGTATTTTGTTTGAACTAAGATATTGCAGATATTGATCGATCATTGAAGTAAATCACAAGTTCAATGCCAGCGTCACATTCTACTTCTACAAGACCTCCATTTGTTGCTTTAGAAACGAGGTGAAATTCATTGCATTTTATAACAGAACAAATAAAACACATATTTGGTATAGTATTGTTTACTTCATTTTATCATTGCGATAATAATACTCGCCAAATATGATGGATATTTATCTGTGCGATGTTTTATTGTAATTTAGGATGTTTTTTTTTTTATTATTATTATTAACAGTGTTAGTCAGGTAAGCGCACATTTCCTACATCATCTTATCGTCAGCTCAGCATCATGTTATGATTATGATTTTACTGTCATCTGTGTACTGTCTGCACAGTGTGAGTACTGGTAATATTGCAAGTGATATAACTGCTCAAAGACTAGAGACATTATTGCTATACAACTGACTAAAATATAATAGAGACAAGGTAATTACTAACACTAATTACATTGATTGAAATTCTGAGCTACTTCAACAGTTCTGGATTTTAAGCATGGGAATGATCTGTATCGAACTGTATTGGGACCATGCTCCGAGAACGTGTAAAAATTTTGCTGAACTGGCCCGGCGAGGATACTACAATGGAACCATATTTCATAGGATAATTGCCGATTTCATGATACAAGGCGGAGATCCTACTGGAACCGGTTCTTTTCCTAATTTTTTACTTTTCCTACTGGAACCTAAAAAAAAAGTAAAAATGTTGATTTATGGATTTAGATTTGTGAAGTGGAAGGCCTTTTTACCAGATAACAGGGAAAGAATATAGAAATTGCTGTTCTATTTCTAATACAGAAACTGTGAAATAAGCAAAGTGTTGCACTTTCTCATGTATGGACTGATTTTTATTTCAGGTCGTGGTGGTGCATCAATCTATGGTGACAGATTTCCGGATGAAATCCATGACAATTTAAAGCACAGTGGTGCTGGGATTATTTCTATGGCTAACACTGGACCAAATACGAATGGTTCACAGTTTTTCATAACTTTAGCACCAGCACAACACCTGGATGGAAAACATACAATTTTTGGACGAGTTGCGGCCGGAATGAGAGTACGTTGTTTCCTTCACTTCATTTTTGTTTAGTAATTCGATGTTTGAAAATTTAAATCACTTTTACTTGGGAGTTCTCATGTATTACTTATGCTACTATTAGACTAAAGTAAAAAGAATAAATCGTGATGCCTTGATTGACTGACAGTCTTCTTTGTTAATCAATCTTATATGCAGATTTAGCTCTTCTAATACGTAGTGAACAGCATTTACAAGGTCTCTGAATAGTATAGGTATAAATTTTTATGGCCATAAATTTATGGAGTACAAAGCGAAGTGATAGAAGGCATTTTACATTTTCAGTTCAGACTTGTTTTATGGAATATTTGGAAGAGATTATAAGAATTATAAGCCATAAAAAAGGATTACCATTATAACTTCAAATTATGGGGGACATCTCCAATTTATAAACGATAAGGCCCATAGAAATTCTGAAGAAGCAGTGTATTAGCAAATGTCCTTCTGATCTTTCTCATAGAGCGGCTTCTTCTAAAAGAAAATGAACATTTGCGACAAATATTTCGACTGTGCGTAGCTTTTTGCACCTGTTGAAAGCAAGTAGGAGTTCTATTAGGATCACAAATAACAAGTGAGGGAAATTTGATGAAAGTTGGGAAACTTTATGTTCCAACAGTATAGGAATCCAAAATCAGTTTTAAGCTTCTGCGGATCAACAGTCCATCGCAGGCTAATGTGACATCTAGTAGTCTGTTATGTACATTTTCATAAACAGAAATCTTTGATCCGGAGTTATGCCAACATTTAAATCATGGAATATCATGTCCGCTTTAATCTTTTCATTCATTGTTTTAAAGGAAATTAGATTCATAAGTAATATAGGAAGTGGAGTGAATATTAAATTAATTGTTTCCATTAGTTCTGTACTACTTTGTCGACATACGAAAAGTACTACTGCATTGCGAGCAGTAGCAATTATTGCAGTATTTTTCGGCGCTTTTTAGCAAAAAAGGGTATTTAAAAAGTATAAATACCCTCTTCATTATAAATTATAACTTTCTCTTCTTTTTTTGTAGGCTGTACAAAGGATTGGACTAGTAGATACAGATGCTCATGATGGACCAAAAAGTGAAATTCGAATATTAAAGGCATACCCTAAAGACGACTCTCGCAATTGATTATTTACTTCCAAAACTTGATGCGATGGCAGATGAATGAATTCATCTTTGTGCGGTTGTCATTCTCATTGTAATGACCTCAAATTTAATTTATTAAGTCGTTATGATTATTTCTGTTATCCTTAAAGGTTTTTCCTGTTGAAAAAGTCAGGCTGTTGAAATAATATAATGTTTTTCAAGTTCTTAATGAGGTACACACATTTCCGTTACCCAGAATATGATTTACGAGTGGGATGAAATGGGCGTGTTTGTTGTGCCTGCATGTATGTATGTATGTGTGTGTGTGTGTGTGTGTGTGTGTGTGTGTGTGTGTGTGTGTGTGTGTGTGTGTGTGTGTGTGTGTGTGTGTGTGTCCGTATTTGGGAAAGTTAATGTAAGCTGATTTTTGTTGAACTACAAGGTAGCTGATTATGTTACGTTGGCTGTTATGCATGCTATTGTTTCCATTGGCTGGCTGTTCGTATGTTCTGAATAGTGTATTTTCTGCACCAGCCATGTAAGTTTAAATTGAATTTCTAACGAAGAAAAGAAGTGGTATTTGCATACATTAAATATCTAAAAGATAAAAAAATACATATTTCGAACCTAATGCTTGAACTAGTGTTTAAATTAAAGAAAATGATTAATTTGCTGAAAATGTAAGCTTAAAATTGGGAAGTAATGCCTAATTAAGTTTACAAGCATATCACGACTAAGGGCTTACTCCACTTAATATCTGATTAGTCCTGATAAAAGTCCTATCTTGAAATTGCTTACTTTATGTTGCAGTGCCATCTATATGCAGATTATTACAAATAACTTTATGATGTGTCTTTCTCCATATTTAGTAAATCACATGAGGAAATTATAGCTATGTGAAGAAAGATAATTTTGAAACATATTGGACAGTTTCATTAATCTAAATGCTATGAAATGAAAAATTTGCTACTGTTCTGTCTATGTTCTCCTATTTTAAACATTAGTTTTAATTTTTTTGCTCGATATACATTAACCGGATTATGCTATTCACTTTTTTTTCAATTGTTGGATCGCAGTTCCTTCCCTTTCCTTCACATTTAGAAATACAAAGAACATTTAAGAAAATAAATTAGTTTGAAATTGTCATGCATTCTAATTTGCAATGTTTTCCGTTAAAACCGTTTTATAAATTTTCATTTTTCACCTATTTCCCATTTACATGTTTATCATAGTCTTAGACAATTCACTGCCATGTTAAACTATCGTTTGGCTTGGCCATAAATTCAGTTTCTCATCCAAACTTATGCGATTTCACTAATCTTCTTATTCTATAACTATTCCTCATGATCCACTTGTTAATCCATTGGATCTTTTTTTTTTTTTTTTTTTTTTTGGATTTGGATCTTGGATTGGAATTTTCAGGTCTAAAGTAGACGAATCAGCAACTAATTCTACGTAAACTGGGAATTTGCTGTATTTATTAGAATAAAATTTCCGAGAGCAATATAGTACAGAGTCCAGAAAATTTTACTGTCCATGCAGATTATTATCAATAATGTTTAAGTGATAAAACAAACTCAATTTCAAGGAATAAACAGGTGAAATGCATGTCGATTCAAATCAAAGTTTAATATATTTTCCAGTAAAATATAGTACATTGTAAGATATCGATAAATGTCAATTGATATGTCATTGGTGTTTCACTCCTATCATGTGGCATATTGCTCATTTATTATTAATTTTTTGATCACTGATATGAAAAAAAACAACCTTTGCAAAAAAAAGGAAAGTTTATTCGAACATATAAACCTTCAAAGTAATGGATTTATCTAGCTGAGCACAGCACTATATCTCAAACAAAATTAAGTATCTAATTTTGCGCAACTTCAACACGAATAACAATTTGAGCAATTGTTTAAAAAGCTTGAAATAGACTAAAACGTCCAATTACTAAATTGCTTGGTAAATTATAAGTAAAATTCAATTGTAGTCTCATTCTAGAAAATAAGGATCATTCTAAATACATTTAAACTTAGTGTCATCTGTATCAGTTTCTTCTTTTTTGTGGATTAAATTTCATTGGTATCATTTAAATTCCACTTATTAAATCAATATTTGCAATTTCAAAAAATTATCTTGAAATGAATTGCATTTCTTTATCTGTCTCTATTTCTTGGAGATTACCAGTCACCAGTATGATTTAGTTAAGAAATATTTGTCATTCTTGGTGTTCATTAAAAAATCATAAATCAAAATTGGTAAGAAATCATGATATTACATTTGCCATATCTTTAATATAAGTTTTATTATGAAGAGAGCGTCACAAATATTTGGTCGTTTTAATAACATAATTATTGTACACTAAATTATTATCAACAAATTAATATTTATCATCAAGTAATTTTGCTTTTTTTCTTATGTTCTAATAAATATCAAAATAAGAATTTAAAGTTAATATCAAGATTTTGGAGTGGTACTTCAATGCTTTTCTCTGATTTGTTATATTTATTTTACACTCATTTCTCACCATCATTCGATATAGATGAAAAGATTAATATATATATGTATATAATATTAAGTGTTACTCTTTGTTTAACTTGTTTTATTTACATTAGTTAACGTTACGTTCTTTAGGTTAAGTATATACATTGCATAAAATGAAAATGTTTCTTTTTGCATCATGTTCACCCTAAGTTAACCTTAATCACAATATAATATTAGTATTTCAATTTTTGGTAAATGTAATGTGCTTGGCAAAAATCATAAATTAATCCGAAATTTCAGCTTTATTCAAAAAGTATCGATTTGAAGCATAACTGATTAATCTGATGTAATTAGGTGTAGTATGTAAAATTTTATTTGAATCATTTTAAATGTTATGTGAAAACCATTACTTTTACTTGTTCATCTTCAGCCAAAAAATTCATTTCATTAATATACTATTAGGTCGTATGTTACTTTAATGAATTATTTGCTAGCATTAATGACTTTCGAAATTATTTATAATTTCCTATTTCCAACAAAAATGATTGAAATTGACAATAAATCGTTGTGTTTTCTCTCAAATCCACTTAAATTCATTAATAATGCATAATATTAAGCACTCAATTTGTTTTGAATTCTATTAGTATTAAATGAATTTGACTCCCAATTCTTTTTAAGAGAAGAAAGAAATCTTGGATGAAATTAAAATTGCGCATCATATCAGTATAATTTGGAAATTTAATAAGCCGAAGATTACCACATCATATTTTTAACAAAGCCTTTTTCGAAATAATAACATTTTACTCTTAAAATATTAACATTTCCACTTTTCCGTAAATCAATTTTTTTTTTCCAAAACAAAAAATTATTTAAAATTTGAAAAATACAAATTACAATGTTTATTCATCGATAACATCAAGATTAGAAAAACCTCTGTAATTTGATAATATAAAACTAAATTTTAGAAAGAAAGATGAAACAATTTATAAGGACAAATATGGTTACTTATCAATGAAAGATTTTGGTGAACAACGACCACTGAAACGATTACGTCCATGTTTCTACAGCCCTATACAATGTTTGATGAAAAAACGAACTGCACGTATTGAAAACTTCATGGATAATTATAGATGATATATGAGGTCATATACGAAATATTACTCAACAAGTATTCATTCAGTTCATCAAATGTGCACCAAATAATTTGTGTAAACTAAATTTATTTATCTGAATGTGTAAATTTACTTAGTTTCATCATTTTTCCACATTTTACTATGTGAAATTATCACATAAAATTTCCTAAAGAATTCATTTCGAATCTTAGAATTTATATGACAAAATACTCTATTAATGAACCATGTGAAAATTTTGAAGACATCCAAATGCAACAAAGCTTGATATTTAAAAAAATATTCCAAGCACTGGATTATGTTATCACCCTAACACTTACAGATAAGTCGAGTAAAAATACGTTCGATAAATGTCGTACATTGTTATTGTCTGGAAGAACGGGCTTATAAAAAAGCATTCCTACGTTATCAATAAACTTATAACAGTAGACTTAGTCTATATTCATTGATTGGATTTTTTGTACAATTCTGAGTTTTATTTTCTATAATAAACAAACGAAATGTTTGTGAAACTGGCAAATAAACATTTCGGATAAAGACGAGGATAATAAAGGATAACCATTTTACTAAGCTGAAAAACAAACTTCGAAAAATAGCATACATCTCTGTTCACTGAAATCGAAAAATGAAGAAAAGCAATCCTAAAACAACTAATGGCTTACAACAGTATCAAATTCGTTCAGACACTATCAAATTTGTACTTACAACAGTGTTCAGACACTATCAAATTCGTACAAATTCCAATCTCAAATATATCATCTAACAAATTTTGCATTCTCAGAAAAACTTCTCCACAAGTTTAATCTCGAAAAAAGAAAAAAAAAAAAGCCATAACTTAACCATGTATTCTAAAAAAACTGCATATTGGAATATCTTGGATTTAGGAAACGAAACAATCAGTTAAAACATCCTCCACTTTAGAACACCATCGCCAGGATCTCTATTCAACTTGTGAAGCTTGAATATCTCAAAGGACTTTAATTGCACATCGGTATTATCGGTACAATTCCTTGGAAGGACTTGACGATACCAGCTGTTACATCATCCCGTTTAATTTCACCCGCTGATTGTATGCTGTCGATAATGCACCGACTATTAGAAGTGACTAACAATGTTTAAGAAAAAAAGAAAAAAAAAAAAAAAAAAAAAACGAACGAAACAATGGCAAATGATTTTTTCAGCACAAAAAATTAAGAGATAAAACAGGTATGAAGTGATCTATACCCTTCTTAGGTAAACTGTAAACAACTGCCAACATAGATGCGCTAGAAGAAATGACAAAAACATATCCAAAGACATACACAAAAGACATGTTTAAGGTATCAAAATGGTGAATTTTATAAATAAAAACATGAGCGTACATTAAAAAAAAAGATGATGCCAACAAAACTGCAATTTCTTTCTAAAAAAATAAAGTTTACACGAATCTGAATCAAATAAATCATGCCACGTTACAATCAAGCTGAATAATACCTACACGTATTCAACAAATATCATCAACAGCCCAACAACAATATAACTTAAAAACATTAGAATGAAATAACTAACAAATACATAGGAAAAATCTAGACGCAAAAAATAGTAAAATAAAACAAGTTCAAAAAACTGCCCCTAGAAAACATAAACTATTCCCGTGGATTTCATTGGTATTTTTTCCTTTCTGCAAGTATAAAATTCGCAGCATGGAATAAATATGCTATGGAATAACGCAAATAAGAAACAGTCAATTTTTTTTTTCGTTTTCACCACAATTTTATTTCACTACCCTCCTCTTTAAATGATTCCTGACCTTCCCAGCGACATCGTTTTC